TCATAAATGTATCAAATTTTTTATGCACCACAAAATAAGCCACATTTATTAGGATTGCTATCAAAAATTGGAAAATAACAAGTGTTGTGAGAATGTGGACCAATTAGAACCTTTGTGCACTGTTGGTGGGAATGTAAAATGTGCAGCCGCTGTGGGAAAGGTTGGTGGTTTCTCAAAATAGTAAAGATAGAGTTACCATATGACCCAAAATTTGGAAATAGGGAATCAAACAGAGATACTTGCACATTTATGTTCACTGAAGTGTGATTCATTAATAGCCAAAAGGTGGGAACAACCTGTGTCTGTCAATAAACAAAATGTGGTCTATCCAGTACAATAGAATATTGTTTAGCCTTGAAACAGGAAGAAAATTCTGCCAAATGTTACAACGTGAATGAACCCTGTGGACATTATGCTCAGTGAAATAAGCCAGATACAAAAGGACATATATTGTATGATGTCACTTTATGAGGTCCCTAGAGATGTAAAATTCATAGAAACAGAAGAAGTATAATAGAGGTTAACAGGGCCTGAGGCCACTGTGAATAATGCTGCTATGAACATGGGTGTACAACTCTTAGAGTCACTACTTTCATTTCTCTTAGCTACCTTTGGTAGCTCTATGTTACTTTTTGAGGAACCACCATACTAATTTGACATAGTAGCTTAAAAACTCTCTTTTTCTTGTGTGGACAGCATGCTGGTGACAGCCAGTGGTGGCTTGAACCATCATAGGGGTAGTAAAGATGAGCCAAGTGACTATAGATTCAGACTCTATTTCAGAGGTAGAATCAACAGGACTGTAGATGGATGGAAAGGGGAGGCTAATGGTTGATGGCCACTCCATCTCCCCAGTTACTCATGTCAGCATCCTTGTATTTATCCTTGACAGGATAAGACTCTTTCTCCAAAATTTCATATTCAATCCACCTGCAAATCCTGTTTGCTCCACCTTCAAAATTAACCCTAGCCCTAACTGGGTAGCTCAGTTGGTTAGTGTACCCCAATACATCAAGGTTGTAGGTTCCATCCCCTGTCAAGGCACACACAGGAAGCAGCCAATGGCCCTGGCCAGTTTGGCACAGCGGTTAGAGTGTCGACCCACGGACCGGAGAGTCCTGGGTTCAGTTCCCACTAAGGGCACATACCTCGGTTGCAGTTTGTCCCCCGCCCCGGTTGGGGTAGTGTGGGTGGCAGCTAGTTGATGTGTCTCTCATGTCAATGTTTCTGTATCTCTTTTCCCCACCCCTCTCCCTCCTGCTCTATCTGAGGATAAATGCAATAGCGTCCTTGGGTGAGGATTAAAAAAAACAAAAAAACAAGCAGACAATGAATGCATAAATAAGTGGAACAACAAATCAATGTCTTTCTCAAAAATCAATAAATGAAAATATTATTTATTTATTTATTTATTTAATCCTCACCCCAAAACATTTTTGCATTTATCTTCAAATAGAGCGGGAGGGAGAAAGGGAGGGAGAGAGAGAGAAACATCGATGTGGGAGAGACACATTGAGTGCTTGCCACCCATGGGGCCAGGGACAAACAGTGACCGAGGTACATGCCCTTAGCGGGAACCGAACCCGGGACTCTCTGGTCTGCAGGCTGATGCTCTAACTGCTGAGCCAAACCGGCCAGGGCCAATAAACAAAACATTTAAAAATAGTCCTGTTGGTGTGACTCAGTGGTTGAGCATTGACCCATGTACCAAGAAGTTGCCAGTTCGATTCTTGGTCAGGGCACATGCCCAGTTTGTGGACCCAATCCCCAGTGGGGGGCATGCAGGAGGCAGCCAGTCAATGTTCTCGTTCATCGATGTTTCTATCTCTTTCTCCCTCTCCTTTCCTCTCTTTCTAAAAATCAATAAAGAAAAAAAAAATTAATAACAAAAACCAAAATTAACCTAGAATCCTATTGTCTGTTTTTTTCACATACCAGTCTGAATGACTTCTTTTTATTTATTTACTTATTTATTTTATTTTTATTATTTTTTTGGTTAATCCTTACCAGAGAATAGTTTTCCACTGAGTTTTGGAGAAAGTGGAGTAGGGGGGAGCAAGAGGGAGACAGAAACATCTGATGTGAGAGACACATTTATTGGTTACTTCTCTGCCCCAGACCAGGCCTGGAATTGAACCTGCAACACAGGTATTTGTGTTCTTGACTAGAAATCGAACACGCGACCCTTCAATGCAGGGAAACACAAGCTCTAACCACTGAACCACACCATTCAGGGCCTCTTTTTATTTATTTATTTAATTTTTTTGGCAAAAAAAAATTTCTTTATTTCTATTTATTCATTTATGCAACAACAGTATCAGCAATATGTAACAGGAACATCCTTTTATGTTTTAAATTAATTTTCCATTTTGAAAGGTTCAGAACTTTGTCTCTTTTTTCTACCTTACTATTTTTAAAATACTCCAGTCCAACAAAACAGCACACAAATAAAAAGTTTATTCCCTTACTTAAAGTCATGTAAGTGGCTCTTTAGAATTTAGGTGTCAGTTACAGTAACTTGGAGATTTAATCACAGAATGATACATGTAAGAATGTTATAACACATGCAAAAAACAGTACAGAGAATTTTTTTTTTTATCCTCACCCGAGGACATTTTTCCATTTTTTGTTCAGGTAGAGTGGGAGGGAGAGAGAGGAACAGAGAGAGAGAGAGAGAGAGAAACATCGACGTGAAAGGAACACATCGAGTGGCTGCCACCCGCACGACCGACCAGGGCCCGGGACAAACTGCAACCGAGGTACGTGCCCTTAGTGGGAACCGAACCCGGGTCTCTCTGGACCGCAGGCCGACGCTCTAACCGCTGAGCCAAACCGGCCAGGGCAGTACAGAGAATTTTTGAAAGGACAAATTTCAGGGTACTTTCAAATTATGAAGCATAGGAAAGCCCTTTTGAGGATCCTTAAGTTAAAAGACTCTTCCCTTCAGATTCGGAATAAAAATTACTAGGAATTATAAGACAACAATGGGCACTGATGATATGGCCCATGGTAGATGTATTAGGTTAGGGATAAAAGGAGTCTTCATATGTTTTAGTGAAGGGGCCAATGAAAGAAAAGGCCAGGAAGCCATTTTAAACTCATGTTCATGGCAGGTCAAATGATGCTGAGACAAGCATTTCCCTTACAAAGGTATTATCCCACTGCTACTTTTCAAAGGCTTAGACTTCAATCTGTTCACACTGCTGCTTCTCATCTTTACATCACCTGTTCTAGGAGCAAACCTCCTGGAAAAATGGTGTTACAGACTGGTAAAGCAAGATTGCGGGTACAGCAAAAGGGCTTTGGTGCTCCAGTCATTTGTCACGATTTACTGTTTAATGAGGAGACTAGTTAATCTAGAAATGGACTGTTAACTGACTCTAGTATATTCTTGGGATATGCTTACTAAATAACTTTTGTGATTCAGAAATGCCAAAACTACTTGGACTCTCTTGGACATATTTTATTTTTAAAAAAGGAAATATAATAGGCTAACAAAAATAAAAATGTGCCCTGGCCGGTTTGGCTCAGCGGTTAGAGCGTTGGCCTGCGGTCCGGAGAGACCCGGGTTCGGTTCCCGCTAAGGGCGCGTACTTTGGTTGCAGTTTGTCCCCGGCCCTGGTTGGTCATGCGGGTGGCAGCCACTCGATGTGTCCCTTTCACGTCGATGTTTCTCTCTCTCTCTCTCCCCCTCCCACTCTATCTGTACAAAAATTGGAAAAATGTCCTCGGGTGAGGATAAAAAAAAAAAAAAAAAAAAAAAAAAAAAAAAAAAAATAAAAATGTATTTGTTTTTTAACAAATAACTAATCTTTTAATGTTTTTATAAAAATAATTCCCTTCAGATACTCTGATTAACCTTTAAGTGACATAAAAAAAAGCTTCAGCATTCTTTATTACCAATATTTTGCACAATTTAAGATATGTTTAGCATTTCAAGGGAAAATTTTTTAAAGAAAAAAAGGAGAATGGTAATTCATCAAGAAGCTTATGTACCTAGTAAAGTTTAGTTTGTCTTGGATTCTTTTTAAAAAATTAGGTCTAAAATTTTAGTAATCTAATTACCATCCCAATCAAATACAATATCTATACGTGGATTTTAGATAAAAGATAAAATATTTCCAACTAATAAGACCCACTGATTGGACTGTTTCTTCAGAATCGGTTTTACTGGGTTTAGATAAGGACGACTTCAATAAAGCTAACTACATATTGAGTTCCACTGATTAAAAATGCAGTTTTAAAAACTATGCTCTTGTGGTTAATTTCTAGACAAATCATAAATGTAAAGTACAATATTGTAAATATTGTACTATTCACAGGTACTTGCTGGAGAAGTGAAATGCTTGTATTCAGACTATCAAAATCCTGACCTTTCAAAATAGGTTTTCTAAAACAATTTTTTGAAAATCAGCATTTGCTTTTAAACTGTTAAAATGTCAATTTCAATTAAAAAAAAAATCCTTACAGATAAATCTTAAAGTTGTTCCTTTCAGTTTCAATTATTTTTTACTTTCAACTATATATTTAACAAAGAACCAGTTTCTAAATAAACATCTAAAAAAAACAGTTTCAATGTAAAATAAAACTAGGCAATCTAATACAGCTTGTATAGTCTTTTTTTTTTTTTTATCCTCACCCGAGGACATTTTTCCATTTTTTGTTCAGGTAGAGTGGGAGGGAGAGAGAGGAACAGAGAGAGAGAGAAAGATCGATGTGAAAGGAACACATCGAGTGGCTGCCACCCGCACAACCGACCAGGGCCGGGGACAAACTGCAACCGAGGCACGCGCCCCTAGCGGGAACCGAACCCGGGTCTCTCAGGACCGCAGGTGGATGCTCTAACCGCTGAGCCAAACAGGCCAGGGCCAGCTTGTATAATCTTAATGTGATTTATCATTACTCAGAATTAAATTTCTATAATAGTGATAAACTTTCAGTCTCTTCTTAATATTCAAAACCAGCAACTTCCCATGAGACTAGAAAGTTAGAAGAGAAGATTAAACAGATTTAAGCACTGCCCGACTTCTTCTAAAATGATGCACTCTTTTATCCTTGAAGTAGTCATCTTGAGTAACAACAGAGTTTCTCATTCTGTTCTCTGGATTAAACAAACAAGATACCACTGTCTGTATGCTTCGATCCACAGATTTCTTTTATGGGCCATTTCCAGAGGATGGAGTAGCTTCATGAACTGAACATTCACTTGTCAAAACTTCAGCTCCTGAATCAACTTCATTACAGTGGTAGTTAACGGCTATATAAACCGGAGGTATAACATAACTCCTTTGTTCCCCAGTAGGCCACTGTGGTGGCATCTGATAATTATACACTGGTAGCTGATATCCGGTGATGACCTGAACAGGTGAACTTGGATAAGGAGGATATGCCTGAGCATACTGAGTTATAGGATTCATCGTGGTTGGAGGCTGCATGTAAGTTTCAGTGTTTGGATTACTCCAGACACTCTGAAACTGTGGTGGAGGAGGAGTATTAAAAACCAAAGGACATGGCTGCACATGATAAGTGCATAAATTTTGTTTCCTGATTGCAGGGCCCAGTTTCAGCCGTTTACCATGGAAATTTATCTGTGATTCTACTATCTTCTGCACATCCACGTCATTATAAAATGAAACAAATCCATAGCCTTTGGACACACCAGTTCGATCCTTTATTATCTTCACTTCTTTTACTGAACCATATATAGCAAATAAACTTCTAATTTCGGTTTCATCCATCCTAACATCAATTCCACCAACAAAAACAGTATTTGGCATGATTTTGCCTTCAGGTAAAACACAGCCTTGGCTGGTCATTGATGATGAAGACTGGGTGCTGGCCTCTCTGGAGATGGTTGACTTTGGAGTCTGCAGCAGAGGTAGGTCAAAAGTGTTCCGAGTTGCATCCTGTGATGGTGGGGAATCAACTGCACCCATTTACCAAGACTCACATACATGTACACCCCCCAAATATTACTGTATATACACTTAGTTTAAAGCTCCTGGTTTTTCCAGAGAAGAAAACTTCCCCGGAGCTCAAAATTCCTCAACTTCCTAAATCCAGGATCCCTCAGGAACCCTCTTTTTATTTTTAATCCTCAACAGATTATATGCTTTAGACGCTAGAGAGAGGAAGGGGCAGGAGAGGCAGAGAGAGAGGAAGAGAGACACAGACAGACAGCAGTGGTCATGTGTGCCCACTGGGATGGAACCCGCTACCTCTTTTGGTGCAGGGCAGGACGCTCCAACCAACCAGCAACCCAGCAAGGGCCTGAATGATCCTCTTTAACACTTAAATCAGGGTATGTCTTTCCCAGATTATGACAGTTCAGTGGCTTTTCAAGGGTAAAGCCTGCAGGGTGCCTTGTTCTTAAAACCCTTTCCGTAAATTAATTGTCTTTATTTATTTTTTATTATTTTTTAATCTTCATCCGAGGATATTTTTACATTTATTTTCAGACAGAGAGGGAGGTGTGTGTGTGTGTGGGGGGGGGGAGACATCGATATAAGAGAGACATATCAACTGGTTGCCACCCCCAGGACCCCAACTGGGGCCGGGGACAAACCACAACCTAAGTACGTGCCCTTGGTCGAAATCGAACCCAGGACTGGTCCACAGGCCAACACTCTAACCACTGGGCCACACCGGTCAAGACAAATTAACTGTCTTTAAAAATAGTTTTTTTCTTTATTGATTTTAGAGAGAGGAAGGGAGAGGGAGAGAGAGAGAGAAACATGATGAGAGAGAACATCAATTGGCTACCTCCTGCATGATTGGGCCCACAACCAGGGTATGTGCCGAACCAAAGAACTCCTGGTGCATGGATCCACGCTCAACCACCAAGCCACAATGTCCCGGCGTTTTTTGTTTTTGTTTTTTTCTTTATTGATTTTAGAGTTAATTGTCTTTTAAATCCCTGGGTTCCCAGTCTCCCAAGAGTCCATTGGTCACGCCCTAGAGGTTGATCACGCCCTGGGATGCTGCGCATGCTCTGTCGCACCCCGCCCCCTTTAAATTGGCACAAACCATTTCCACTTGTACCTGGTAGGGAGGCTGCAGAAACTCTGCCGGGGAAAGGATGGGCGTGGCACTCCGCCTTCTCTGATGAATGCTCTTAAGTGTCTCCCGGTGTGGGAGTGTGAGCTGTGGCACCGGTGCCGACTTGCGCTCCCGAGCCTCCTCCCACCACGGAAACTTCGACTGCATCGTCTCCCTTCCAGCGCCGCGTTGGTGCCGTCCGCCGGGGTCACATGGGCGGCGAGATGGCGGCCCCTAGAGCCCGCTGCCAGCCTCGCGGTCCATGAGGCGGCAGCGGCGGCTGCGAGAGGAAAAAGGCGGGCCGGTTCTGCGTTTCTGGAGCTTGTTCGGACGTTCCGGCGGCGGGGAGCACGGTGCGGGGCCCGGACCTGGCGGGCGGACACGGGGAGGACGGCTCGTGGCGGGGAGGCTGGTTCCCGGCCCCGGGATTCACTGAGGAGTCTGGAGTCCCGGCGAGCTCTTCCACTTGGCTTCTGGGGACCCTGTCTCCACGAGTCCCTTTGCTGGGGACGCAGCGCGTGTTGGGGAGGGTCCATGCCACACGACTCCTTCCTGGTGGTCCTGGAAGAACCAACTTGTGAGGGTCCCGCGGAGATAGATCTTGAGGCATCCGGTTCCCGGAAGTCTTCCAAGGAAAAGGATCCTGCGGGCTCCCCTGAGGGATTCCGTGTGGGGCGACCCCTCGCGGGAAGGGGGGAGCCTAGTTACAGGAGATCTTTTTGTGGGGGATTATGGATATAGAGAGGTCTCTAGACGGGGAAGGGATCTTGAGGATCCCAGGTCTCCCCTTTCTCCATCCCTTACTAATTCATCCTGTCTGCCTCTGAGACTTCACAGGGGTGAGCGGATTCCCTCAACCCCACACCCTGGCCCCCCTTTCCACTGAAAAATGGGCCTTAGGTATGAGCTGCGGCTTCCAGGTGGTTGGTGTACCCTCCTTGTCCCCCTGAGCCCAGAGGCAGGTGTGGGGCTCCCTGCAGAAATATTTAGTACTAGCTCAGGTTTATTAAGTGTGTACTGGGTGCCGGCGCTTGTACTGTGTGCTGTGTGAGCGTAACTTCATCCACAGTAACTCTGTGAGGTCTCTGTGCCCCTTTGGCCTGTTTTACAGATGGTTGCAGATTTATATTATATATAAAGTGTTTAGCAGCGTACCTGGCAGGCAATAGATGTTCAGCTCATCTGACAAATATTTAACAAGGGCCTGCCAGAGTCCTGGGTCCTGTCTGCCCTTGGTGTGCTGTGGCTCACTCCTGGCTTCTGTGGATTCTGATGGGCCCTCTTTCCGGAGTCACCTCCTTTGATGGTCACCTGTGCTCAAGCAGCTGCACCTCCCTCATTAAACTGCAGGTGGGACCTGCTGACGCTTCTAGGACCAGAGGGCTGAGGCAAGCCGCAGCCTGCTTGTCATGTTTATGACGCGGCCTCCAGGTCCTCATTAGTCTAGTAGAGGATGGAGAGGGGGACCCTCCTTCTTGCCTCAGCTGTGTCTTTTCATCTTATTCCACCCATTCAACAGAGTGTCTGGTTTAGAGCTGGACTCTGGAGCTCAACCACCTGGATTTATAACTCTTCACATTGTTTCCAAGCAAGTCATTAACTTCTCTGTGCTTCTGTTTTCTCTCCTGTAAAATGGTGACAATCCTAGTTCCTGTCTCCTCTGGGAATGGTGAGGATTAAATGAGTTCATAACTGTAAAGGGCTTAGAAGAGGTGCTTGGCAAATGCTCTGTAAATGTCAGCAGCTGTTACTTTTAGGATTATTGTTCTTATTGAGGACCTTCTGTGTGGGGGGAGTACAGCAGTGACTAAGAGAGACTTGATCCCTGCTTTCAGAGTTCTCCTATTCTAGTGAGAGATCAGAAGGACCATAATCAGCTAACCCAATAAATATACATGGTATCTAGTGGTGGTAAGCACTTCAAAGAACAATAAAGCAGAACAAGGGAAAAGAGATAGAGGAGTAACATTGAAGATTGTGATCAGGGAAGGCTTCCCTGAGGAGGTGACATTTGAGAAATGAGAGCGTGAGCATGGGGGCATTTTGGAAGAGTGTTCCTGAAGGAGAGAACAGCTCATGCAAAGGACATGGGCCAACGTTCTAACCACTGGGGTAGGAATGTGTCTGGTATGTTGGAGGAACAGTGAAGAGACCTGTTTGGTGGAATGGAATGAGTGAGGAGAGGGAGAAAATGAGGGTGGGGAAAGGACAGGGGCAGGTCTCATAGAGCCTTTGGGACTCTCAAGGAATTTGGAGTAATGAGGCACCATAGGAAGATTTTGTGAGGGATTCACATGGTCAGTTCATATGCTGAAAGGATTCCTGTATCAGTTACCTGTGCTGTGTAACAAATTACACAGTGTTTCTTATGACCCAGCCTCAGAAGTCACACTGTCATTTCTTTCATATCCTATTGTTTACACAGGTCAGTCCTATTCATTGTGGGAGGGGGCCACATAGGGCACAGATACCAAGAGATGGGGGTCACTGGGAGCTGTTTTGGGAACCAGCTATCACAGTCCCTCAGCTGTTGTGTGGAGAGCAGACCCTCAGAAGTCATTACTGATATATAGGTCAAAGGTGCAGAGAGGGAAAGTAAGTTAGGGAGGTCTACACAGTAAGTAGGTGGGGCCAGAGCCAGACTTTCAACCTAGATACACAGGCTGGACAACAGGTAGGAAGCCGCTTCACCAGGTTCTAAATTAAATGAACAAGTCACTCATGCCCTGGTGGTTTTGATCAGTTGTTAGAGTGTTGGCCCACGGACCAAAGAATTGCAGGTTCGGGTTTGATTCTGGTCAAGGGCATGTACCTCGATTGCGGTTCGATCCCCGGACTGGTTGGGGTCGTGCGGGAGGCAACCTGTTGATGTGTCTCTTTCACATGGACGTTTCTCCTTTCTCTTTCTCCCTCCCTCCCCCTCCCTTCCTCCTTCTCTCACCCCCCTCCCTTCCTCCCTCCCTCTTTCCCTCCTTCTCCCTCTATCTGAAAATCAATGGAAAAATATTCTTGGGTGAGGATTTAAAAATAAAATAAAATGAAATAAATGAACAAGTCAGCAGAAGAAGGACACTTCTAACCTGGCTTTTTGGTTTTCTGTGGTAAGGTTCTTGTGCCTGAGAGGAGCCTTGGAAGGAAAAAGACGTGCGCCATGGTGACGGAGCAGGAGGTGGAAGCTATTGGGCAGACACTGGTGGACCCCCAGCAGCCCCTGCAGGCCCGCTTCCGGGCTCTCTTCACGCTTAGAGGACTTGGCGGCCCGGGCGCCATTGCCTGGATCAGTCGGGCCTTCAGCGATGACTCTGTCCTGCTCAAGCATGAACTGGCCTACTGCTTGGGTCAGATGCAGGACCGCCAGGCCATCCCTGTGCTGGTAGATGTGCTGTGTGACACCCACCAGGAGCCCATGGTGCGCCATGAGGCAGGTGAGTGGCGAAGTGAGGGCATGGGCACACTTCTGCCACTTGTATCAACGCTCACTCATACATAGTCCAAACCAGGGCTCAGCAAATCTCCATAAAGGGCGGGTAGTAAGTATTCAGTCCTGCTGGCCAGACAGCTGTTACCACAACTCAATTCTACCATCATAGCATAAAAGCCACCATAAACCAACAGGTGGGTGTGGCCATGTGCCAGTAAAATTCCATGGATGCTGAGATTTGAACTTTATATAATTTTCATGGGCCATGGAGTGTTATTCCTTTGATTAAAAAATACCTTTTTTTTTTTTAGCCCTGGTCAATATGGCTCAATGATTAGAGCATTGTCCGGCACTGAAGGGCCTTGGGTTTGATTCCCGGTCAGGGCACATACCCAGGTTGCAGGTTCTATACCCAGTTGGGGCACATGCATGAGGTAATCGGTTGATGTTTTTCTCCTTCTCCCTTCCTTCTTCCCTCTCCCTTTTTCTCTCTCTTAAACCAATGAAAAACATATCCTTGAGTGAGAATTAAAAACAATTTTTTTTTTTATTATAAAAAACATTCTAGCTCTGGCCAGTTTGGCTCAGCAGTTAGAGCGTCAGCCTGTGGTTCAGAGAGACCCGGGTTCGGTTCCTGCTAAGGGCACGTACCTCGGTTGCAGTTTGTCCCCAGCCCTGGTTGGGTCGTGTGGGTGGCAGCCACTCGATGGGTACCTTTCACGTTAATGTTTCTCTCTCTCTCTTTCTTCCTCTCTCTCCCTCCCACTATATCTGAACAAAAAATGAAAAAATGTCCTCGGATGAGGATAAAAAACAACAACATTCTAGCCCTGGCTGGTTTGGCTCAGCGGTTAGAGTGTTGGCCCAGGGACCAAAGAGTCGCGGGTTCGATTCCGGTCAAGGGCATATCCCTTGGTTGTGGTTTGGTCCCCAACCATGGTGGGGGTCATGCAGGAGGCAACCAATCAATGTGTCTCTCTCACATTGATGTTTCTTTCTCCCTCCCTCTCTCTTTCCTTGCCTCTCTCTCACTTTATCTGATGATAGATAAATGGAAAAATATCCTCAGGTGAGGATTTTAAAAAAAAATTCTACACGCATATAAAAACAGGTGGTGGCCTATAGATTGCCAACCCCCCTTTTTACATAGAGGGGAAGGGAGGGAGGGAGAGAGAAACATCGATTAGTTGCTTCTTGCACAACCCTGACCAAGGCCAGGGATCAAACCCACAACCCAGGTATGTGCCTTTGACCGGTAATTGAACCTGCGCCCATTCAGTCCTCAGGCTAACCCAGCCAGGGATGGACAAATGTGTTTTGAATGTCTGTTGTGAGCTTCCCCTGAGGTACCCAGGTGCTTTGCACTAATCAACATGACCTCTCTTTGCCTGGTTTTTAGGGGAGGCCTTGGGGGCCATCGGGGACCCAGAAGTTCTGGAGATCCTGAAGAAGTACTCCACTGATCCTGTTGTCGAGGTAACTTGGCTGGGCCCTCCCTCTCCTGCCCCCGCCTAGACCAGCCCCAGACCCTGGCTGTTTGCCATGGTGACTCCTTGGCTAGGGATTCTGGAAAGAGTTGGCAGTCAGGATGGGTGCAGGCTGCTGCCCACTTGGGAAAAACTGAACATTTAATTTCCATCAAAATCTGCCCTGCTCAGCCAGCCTGTCCTGGGCCTTGAGCCACTGTGGAGCTGTCCTCACCTCTCTGGTACCTCCACTGTCCATCCCTCTCATGGTCTCTCATCACCTTTAGGATAAAATGCCAAGCCTCACTGTGGTCCACATGCCCTAAATAGTCTCTTCTGACCACCTGTAGGCAGGTCACCTCTGTGGTTAGCACCCCCCCCCCCAGCTTTCCCCTGGCAGGTGCAGCAGGTCCTGACTTAGGGACTTCACATTAGCTGTTTCCACCTGACTCCATCTCTCACTTGATTCTGATGTCACCTCATCATTGAGCAGTTCCCTGGCCCTCTGTCTCCCTTATCACTTCCTAATCACCCCTGGAGGATGGGGTATGGGGCCTATCAGATATACTGCCCACAGGGGCCACCTGCCACCCCTTTCTCTGCAGGTGGCTGAGACGTGCCAGTTGGCTGTGTGTCGGCTGGAGTGGCTGCAGCAACAGAGTGGGGAGCCAGCGGCAGCAGGGCCCTACCTCTCAGTGGACCCGGCTCCTCCGGCCAAGGAGCATGATGTGGGGCGGCTTCGGGAAGCACTGCTGGATGAGGCCCTGCCACTCTTTGACCGATACCGAGCCATGTTCGCCCTGCGAGATGCTGGTGGCAAGGAGGCGGCCCTGGCACTGGCTGAGGGTGAGGAGGGGTCCCTGGGTGAGGCTTAATGGCTGCATTTGTGACATGGAGCAACTTTTCCAAGGGGACGTACACCCTGGGCCTGTTCCCTAGCATGTCTCTACAGGCTTTACACAAATGAACTCCTCCTCAGAGGTGGGTGGGCACTCTTACTACCCCCATTCTCCATGGGGCTACTAAGGCCCAGAGAAGCAAGGAGACTTGCCTGAGGTCACAGAGCTAGTCAGCAGAGTTGGGATTTGACCCTCAGCAGCCTGGCTCCAGCATCCTTAACCTCTTCTGCTATTATTTGTTTCTGTCCCTTGGATATCCAGCCCTGTGCCCCTTCTTGTCCTCACCTGCCTTGATGGCATTACCCAGCCAGTGATTCCTCTGTCCCCCCGCTACTTCCCACAGGCCTGCGCTGTGGCAGCGCCCTCTTTCGCCACGAGATCGGCTATGTTCTGGGCCAGCTGCAGCACGAGGCTGCTGTTCCCCAGCTGGCAGCAGCCCTAGCCCAGCGGACTGAGAGCCCCATGGTGCGACATGAATGCGCTGAGGCCCTGGGAGCCATCGCCCGGCCTACCTGCCTGGCTGCCCTGCGGGCCCACATGGCAGACCCTGAGCGTGTGGTCCGGGAGAGCTGCGAGGTGGCCCTGGACATGTATGAGTACGAGAGGGGACCGGCCTTCCAGTATGCCGATAGGCTGGAGCAGTTGCGCTTGCCCCCCTCCTAGATCTGTCGCCCGCCTGGCCTGGGGCCTCTCCCCTGCAGGACTCAGCATATAGACCGAATTTGTGTAAATCAGATCTTGATTCCCTGAACCTGTTTACTTGGCCAGATCTCAGTCACTTTTGCATCTTGAGTACCCCCTGGGGCCAAGCTGAGGTCTCTACTATCCCCTACTAAGGGACCTACCACAGTGCTGGCAGTGCACCAGGTGGGAATGTCATCATGGGAGGCAAGATCTGGGGCATGTGCAGGGGTGGAGGTGGGGTGGTCCAGCTCCAGGGATGGGGGGGTGGAGAAAGGCACTGTGGAGAAACCTGTGCCTGGCAGACCTGGGCAGGGTCTGGGTCTCTAACTCCCCACCCCGGGCCCTGGGTAGGCTGGGCTGGAGACTCAGGCCAGATGACAAACAGGTCCCAGGTAACTGCTTAAGTGGAATATTAAATTATTTTTGCCAAGTGGTCATTCTCTGTGTGTTGGGAGGCTACTCGGGTTAAGTTGGCTACTCTCAAGGAATATCTAAGTGTGTGTGGGGGGGGCGGGGGGGCGTGTGCAGGCATTTGGAGAGCTCAGCTCTGAGGTCTGTCCTGTTGCAGACAACATGTGACCAGCTCAGGCCTGTCCCTGCTTCACCACCCATTCTCTGGCAGAATGTCTGCCCCACCAAGAGGGCCAAGAAAACCCCTCTAGCCTGGCCCTCACTGCGGGTATTGGGGAAGGGGTATGGTGGTATGGCTAAGAGCTTGGGCTGTGGGCTCCAATCCCAGCTCCTTGCCCCACCCCCCTTCTTCCAGGTGCAGCCTTCAGCAGCCCATTTGCCACTAGAAAAATGAGCCTAACCTAGCTTCATGTTTCTACTGCTTTCTGTGGGTCAGCAATAGCCCTGATGCAGGTGGAGGGGATTCCATGAGGGCACAGGTACCAGGAGGTGTGGTTCTCAGGCACAGCTATGACCCTTGTTAGTCCTCACCTGAGGATATTTTTCCATTGATTTTTTGAGTGGAAGGGAGAGAGAGGGAGAGACATCGATTGGTTGCCTCCTATACAACCCCGACCCGGGCCAGGGATCGAACCTGCAACCCAGCTTTGTGCCCTTGACAGGGAATCGAATCCAAGATCTTTTGATCCATGGGCCGACACTCTAACCACTGAGCCAAGCTGGCCAGGGTTATGACCCAATTTTTTTTTTTTTTTGATCCTCACCTGAGGCTATTTTTCCATTTATCTTCAGATAGAGTGGGAGGGAGGGAGACACATTGGTTGCCTCCCACAGGACCCTGACCAAGGCCAGGGATGAACCACAATTGAGATAAGTGCCCTTGACTGGAATTGAACCTGCGACTCATTGGTCTGCCGGCCAACGCTCCAGCTACTGAGCCAAACAGGCCAGGGCACTATGACCCATTTTTACAACACTGTTTTCTGCTCTCAATACTTTTGACACTGAATTGGGTGAATTTTCCACAGCAAGCAATTTTCCATTTCTCTGAACATCAGCTGGGTGTCTTGCAATTCAGTCCTGACATTAATGACCAGGAATTAGTGCAGATCCCACAGGTTCAGGGCACAGGAACACCACCACTTTATTTTTTTTAAGGGCGAGGGAGAGAAAAACATCGATGAGAGAACAGTTGGTCGCCTCCTGCATGCCCCTCACTGGGGATTTGGCCCACAACCTGGGCATGTGCCCTGATTGGAAATCGACCAGGCAGCTTCTTGGTGTATGGGTCAATGCTCAACCACTGAGCTACACCAGCCAGACAATGCCACCACTTTAAATGGTTCCAAGTCCAGGGCCTCCTGTACCTTTCACCCATCAGGGTTCTCACCACTCTGTCCTCACATTTGAGGATTTGCTGGGATAGCTCACAGAACTCTGGAAAGGACTTATTTATTATAAAGGATAGATGAAGAGACACACAGAGCTAAGTCCGGAAGGGTCCCCAGAGCAGTTGCTTCTGTCCCTGTGGAATGGGCACACTGCCTTCCTGGCACATGGAAGCTCTCAGCCCCTTCATTTCAGGTTTTTATGGAGTGTCCATCACTTTAACACCTTGATGAAATCACTCCTGGTCGGGTGCAGGCAGCCTTGGGGGTGGGGCTAAAAGTTCCCTCTCACCCATCCTCATTAGCCTCATTAGCCTCATTAGGTATAGTGGGAGGGATGAACTGAGAAGCACAAAGGGTCCTGGCCATTGTAGCTCAGTGGACTGAGTGTCATTCCATGGACTGAGGTCCTGGTTTGATTCCAGGTCAGGACACATGCCTAGGTTGCAGGCTCGATCCCCAGTAGGGGGCGTGCAGGAGGCAGCCAATTGATGTATCTGTCACATTGATGTTTTTCCATCCCTCTCTTTCTAAAAAATCAATAAAAACATTTTTAAAAAACGAAGGCACAAAAGGGCCCTCTCACCCTCATCACTCAGGAAATGACTGTTTTAGAAGCTCGGTGCCAGGAACCTGGATGAAGATCAAATATGTTTCTTATCTCAGTGTCACCAGCATCCCCTCTTCCTGGAAATTCCTCACGAACCCTGCATTTGCCCAGCTTTCCTCCCCCACTCCGGGACCCCTCAGTCTCCCTCTCTCCCTTGTTGCCCAGGGCTGGTTCCTGGGGCCTCTTCCCTCCCTGGTCCAAATGCTTCTGGGCAGCCTGGTCCACTGTCAGGGGATCTAACCTCATCTGTGCTGCGTCGCGTCTCCAGCCAGGGCTCTCCTGAGCTCCACATTCGAGGTCCAGCTGCGCCTCCACATCTCCATTCAATATTGATGAAGCACCCCAAAGCCTATGTCTGCCCTTAATTTCCTCATATTACCTCCAAAGTTGCTTCTCCCATAGGAAATGGAAACTCCATCATTCTAGATGCTCAGCCTAAAAACATTCAGGTGTGGCCGGTTTAAACCCTATTCCAGATCCACTCACTTTCCTCATCTCGTCTAACTCCACCCAGGTCCAGCCCCATCATAGACAATCTGGACCAGCTCAGTTCCCTCAGTCCTGGTCCGCCACAGTCTGTTCTCCCCCAGAAGCCACCAGAGGGCGCCACTGAGCCCCTGAGTCAGGTTTCTTCTCAGTCAACAGTCTTCCAAGGCTCCCACCTCCCTGGGTTGGGGGCAAGCCCAAGTCCCTCCCAAGGCCCACAAGGGCCTGCACAACCTGCCCTGTCCCCTTCCTGCCTTCACCTTCTCTCTCTCTCTCTCTCTCTCTCTCTCTCTCTCTCTCTCTCTCTCTCTCTCCTCCTTGCTCACTCTGCTCCAGCCACATGGGTCTCCTTACTGTTTCCCCAACACACTAGGCACAGTCTAGCCTTGGGACTTTTGCACAGGCTGATTCTGCCTGGTACACTTTTCCCCCCAGTACTTCCATAGCTAGTTCCCTTTCTCTTCTGTGTCTCTGCTCAAATGTTGTCTCAGTGTCGGCATGGCTACCCTATTTTAAATTTTACCTCCCCTCCTAGCAGTACCAGCCTCTTAGACCATGGTCTCTGCCCCTCCCTCCAAGTACTACTCTGCATTTTCTAACCCAATACATCATTTACTCTAAGGTTATGTTTTTTTTTCAGTGCATTTCCCCACTTTGAATGTCACCTTCACGAAGGCAAGGATTTTCCCAGGAGAGGGAACAGCCTGTGCAAAGGCCCTAAGGTAGCAGGGTAGTAGGGTAGCAGCCGGTGTGGTTAGAGTCGAGTGACGGAGAGGGCAGTGGGGAGAAGTGATTTGCAGTGTGATTCATTCAGGCAGATGGTGACCACAGGGAAGCCCCAATCTTCTTACCCAAAGCCCCTTAATACTTCCGCTGTGCGAGTCACCTCTGGGCCTCTCCTGCTCCAGGTGGCCGCCATGCCGGGGCTGGTGGATGAGGAGGGGCCCGAGAGCTGGAGCTGGGCCCCGCCGCTGTATGAAGAGTACCGCCCACCACCACTGGACTCCATCCGCCTGCCCAGGTATGTGCTGTACCTGCTGCTGGCTGCACTCCTGGTGGTGGCTGTGGCTTATGCCATTGTTGGGCATCTCATCAAGGACCTCGCCCACGACCTGGCCGGTGAGTCCCAACCATGGCTTGGGCTAGTGCTGGGCCCCTGGGGGAGAGGTGGTTGTCCAACGGCCTCTCCCAGTCAGGGAGAGTAGAAGGGAGGACAGGGGACTTGGGGAGGCTGAGGGCCTCTATGGGGTCAGTGCAGGGATAGAGGGTGGGCAGGATCTGGGCAGGCTCCTCACCAGCCTCCTGCCACAGACTGGGCCTTTGGCCCAAAACCAGACCAGGAGGACGCCCCCCAGGAGCTGCACTCAAGCCTGGAGGGTGAGGATCTGGAGGAGCTAGACCTGCAGCTGGCCCTGGCCTGGCGGGGTGATGAGGACACTGGCGGGGGTGGCGAGGGGACCCGTGAAGTAGCCCCCGCCGGGGCTCCCCACTGCCCCTCCATCGCCTTCAAGGAACCACCTATCCGAAGCTCCTTCTGGAGGCTGCGCTGAGCTGGGTGCTGCCTCGGACTCAAGGCCCAGATGCTAACCACTTTGGCGTTGTACAGACTGACTTGTGCTCACTGACTATTTCCACACTCCCGCTTTCCCGAACTCCCAGAGAGTAACCCACCCGGCCTCCACCAAGCTGTTGGCAATCTGTAAACCAAGAGCACCAAGATTTTTAAAATGATAATAATAATCATAGTAGTCAGCCCTTACCTAGTGCTTAGTATGTGCCTGCTATTGTGCTAAGTAAGCCCTTTCCATGTATTATCTCATTTAATCCTCTGAATGGGACTTAGTGCTCCCATTTAGCAGATGGGGAAACAGAGGCACACAGCCCACAAATGACTTGGTTGGGGTTCTGCCCCTACTTGCTCTGCTGGGCTCCCGTACCTCCCAATCGTTTCCACCCCCACCACACACTCCCCATCTCCTTCCCGGCTCTGGGGCTCTGTCGCTGGCTCTGTCTCTGGGGCTCCTGACTTCCCAATTAGCTTGAGAACTGGAAGACAGTGCCTGAGGCTTCCTTCCCTTCCAAGCTTTGCACAGGACAGGGCATACAGTAGGAGCTTCATATATGCCTGCTGGCTGGTTGAAGTGGCCCTGAGCAATGTCACATGAATGGCCCATCTGCACGTTGGTTACAGTCAGACCTCAGGAAAGGAGGAGGTTCCAGGTATACATTAGGCACTCCATAAATGCATGTGTAATGATGCTGGCATTCCCCAGCCCCCAGGAACCCTGCAGAGGTGCCCATGGGCCTGAAGAATGCCAGCCCCCCCCCCACCTCCCCTGCCCTCCTGCCACGTGGCTGGGTTTGGTGGTGGCTGGTGGGCACATCACCCATCCTGTCTAGTTCAGGTGCTCACCTCGTCAGTGACTGTGGGTCCTCAGGGATTGGGGAGCCAGGATGAGGCAGCATAGAACTAGTGGTGAGGGAGACCCGAAGTCAGATCCCAGCTATGGCTATTTCTGCACAACCTCTGAGTTCCTGGCCTCACTGAGCTTCTGTAAAATGGAGGCAGCAAGTTTTGTGGGGTGTTCAGAGAAGGAAAAAACATGACACATAGAAGTGCTGAGCCTGGGCCTAGAAGAGAAGGTTAGGGCCATCTCAGCCTGGCCATGGCAGGGAGTTTGGGGACCTCAGTGAAGGCAGTCCTGGGCGGGGGCAGAGGGCAGGGTGCCAGACTCCTTGGGTTAATTGTTACACCAGGTCCAGAGTCTGCCCTCCTGGGGGCAACCAGGTAGGGCAAAGGGAGGGCCTGTGCCCAGCCCCAGATCCACCTACACCATATCAGGGCTGGGCAGGGCCTCACCCAGCCAAAGAGGACTGCTCATCTGCACTGCGCACGCCAGCTGCCGGCTCCTCCACGGCCATGGAGACCCTGGAGACCCTTCTTGTGCTCAGCGCCCTGCTCCTCTTGCCCGCTGAAGCCCAGCAGGGTAGGGGGCCCACGGATGGGGCGGTTGGTGGGGAGGGGCCATGAGGATGACCTCACCATATACCCTGAGAAGAGGGAGCACGTACAAGAGTAAAGGGGTCGGGCCCCTCTTGGAGCCCCCTTCCCTTCTCTAAAACCCATCTCAGACATCCAGCCCTTTCCAAGACCCCATCTGTCTAAGCAACCCTGGCTCCCGTCTCCCCTTCACCTTTGGTGGGGCCCTACGCTCCCCATCTCTGAGCCCTACCTTCCCCCATCTTCCAACAGCCACAGAACGTCGCCTGAAGCCGTGGCTGACGGGCCTGGCTGCGGTTGTGGGGTTCCTGTTCATAGTCTTCGTCCTCATGCTGGCCAACCGCATCTGGTGTTCCAAAGGGAGGTGGGAGCCTCTCTCCCCCAGCCCCTCCACAGCCTGTCCTTTCACGCTCCTCCACTCCCCAGAGTGCTGGGCACCCCCTCCCACTTCCTGACCCTCTCTGGCCCCTTCTCCCATCTCCCTATTTCCCTGCTATTTCTTAGACCCCCATCCCACAGACCAGGAGAGCCACGCAGCCCACCCCTTCTTGTTCCTGGAGTTCATGATCCCCAAACCTGGGCTGGCTGGGGTGAGGCTATCCCCACTTGCCATCCTTCACCCACCCTCACCCCTGTCTCCATCTCTCTTACAGCACTGAGGACGAGGAATCCATGTTCAGAATGGAGACCAACCTGTACCAGGACACGGAGCTGAGGTACTGCCTGTGTGAGTGTGTGTAGATGTGTGAGTGGGGTGGGGGGGATCAGAGGGTCTGTGTGAGCCCCATGCTGGGGAAAATGAGTGTGCACAAATGACATCTTTCTGTCCTTGAACACCTCAACACGTTCCTGCCCTAGGGCCTTTGCACTAATTGTGGGCTCTAATTGGAACCCCTTTCTCCGTATCTTCTGGCTGGCTCCTTCTTCAGTTCCTTCTCAGATGTTTTCTCCTCACAGAAGGCCCATCCTGACCACCAGCTTTCCTGACACTGAGTCCTACAGCCATGCGGTCAGGACTAGGGGCAAAGGCTTGGGGACAGGAGTCCAGGAGCTGGGAGGAGACCATCCTGGCTGAACGATTCTCAGCTGAACCCAACATGTGCCATCCATCCATCCATCCATCCATCCATCCATCCATCCATCCATCCATCCACCTGTTCCTCCAAAGAACAGTTGGGCTTTAGTTTCTGCCTTTGTGAAGCAGAAACAACAACTTTGCCTCATTAGGGTTGTTTTGAGGGTTCAGTGAAGATACTTTCTGTACAGCACTCCTCACGAGGCCTGGCACAGGTACATTTCCGTTAAATGGGAGCAGTTGTGTTTCTTATTGTTGCCCGGGGCCTTTGTGTCTCTACAGTAAAGAAGTCAAGAGGCAGAAGAAAGAGGAGAAAAGGGCCAAGAAGGAAGGAGAGAGCAACTTGGGGCTGGACCTGGAAGAGAGAGAGGAGCCCAGAGACCAGGAGAAAACCAAGATCACGACCATGTGAAGACTGGCTGCCCACCTCATCCAGGCAGACCCCCAGAGATGCCCCTTCCACACCCTGTAACAAATGACCCGAACCTGAAACCACTGAAATAACTCCAACAGGGGTGGGAATACAGTGTCCAAATGAAGAGTCTTGGGACCTGCCTCACCCCCATTAGGTGGGCTCTTTGCTCCTTACATGGTCCTTAGGTGCCTTCCTTCCCAATTTTTCCTTTGTGGTGATGTTTTTTGCACTTGTTATGAAGAAACCCCCAACCCCTCCCATCTCAAGGCTGCCCCTGCTTCTGCCCACTGTGTGGTTTCTTTCCCTCTGCCTGACATCTCTTGGTTAGAACTCCACCCTCAGGACCAGTGTGTGCCAGGAACTGCCTCTTGGGGGCCTGCATTAAAGAATTACTCAGAGCCTTTCAGGCCTCTTGTTGTGTCTCGGGATTGTTCCCCCCGGGAGAGGCAGCTTTTGGTTTTGGGGGCAGTGCCCAGGCAAGTATGGAAGATCAGGCTGCCCAGGTGCCCTGGGCACAGTAAACGCTTCCCCAGCAATCTTGATTTTGCTGCCCTGAGCCCTAGACTTTGAGCACCCAGGGCTGTCTCCTGGGAAATTCTTGCTTCCTCCTCTCCCAAGTTTTGGGTCATGTAACTCTGTAACCCCATTTCTAAGAACTGGGTCTTGGAGGGAGGCCTCAGGGCCCTGCATTTTCTTGGCATAGAACAAGCGTTTTCTCCTCCCAGTTTCCAGCCTCCCGCTTCTCCTTACTTTCTCTGGGCCCTGGACCTTGCTCTGGACCTTAACTATTTCTTAATAGATAAATATTCTTAAAGAGGACTTTGACAAAGTACACATTTGGAGCTCCACTCTGGGACCCATAGCTGGGGTGGTGGGATCTCACCCAAAGTGCTTCCGTTTAAGAACGCTTCCAGGATCGCCCAGCAGATGGGCAGGAAAACCATATAGAAACAAACAAAATAAACGCCCTAATAGATGCTCCCATTAAACGCCTAGCATCTTTATCCTCTCTCAGTCTGTCAGTGCCAAATTAGCCCCATTTTCCAGGTGAAAATACTGAGGCTTTGAAAGAGGGAAGACACTGGGGCAGGTTTCCCTGGCTGTTACTGGCAGAGCCGGAATGGAAGGTCAGGCTGCCGAAAATATGGGCGTGTTTGCAGGCTGTGGATAACGCCAGATTTGGAGGTTCAGGTCCTAGGGTGGTGGTGGTGGTGGGGTTTGGGGTGGGGGTATTCTTTCCTCGCTGTGGTTCCTGCCTGGGAGAACTGTGTTCCTCTGCAGTGCTGTGTGGCCCCGGGGGAGGTGGCCTGACCTCTCTGAGTCTCAAGTCGGCTCTTCTGCAATGTGAAGATGAGTTCTGACCATTAGTCTGAGGCTTGAAGGAGGCACCTGGGCTTAAGGGCCATTGCAAAGCCTGGCACATAGCAGGTTCTCAGAAAATGAGTTCCCCACCTTTCCTGAGCCTCCCCCCCCCCCCGCCATGGCTTTGTGGGGAGCAAAGGAGTCAGAGTGAACTTCAGGGAGACAAGGTGCTGGGATGCTTGGGACCCTGGGCTCCCCGCCAGGGAACCTGGAACCCAAGGAAGGGGGCCTCACCTCCCACTTCCTATGGCACTGTCCACACCCTGCCCTGAGGTGCCCTGGGCAGCCCACTTCCTCTTCCAGTGAGGGCTGCACCCCAGAACCTGCTGGACAGGAGCGAGGACAGACCAGGATGGACAGATTCTGGATAACCCCCGGCAACTCTCTGGTCCAACCCTATAAGGCCTTGGTGGGTAGGGAGGGGGAGGAGGAGGGGGAGAACCTCAACCTGGCGGCCAGGCCAGGCTGCTGACCCTGCGCTGCCTCCGCCTGCAGTGGAAGCCGTGGCTGATGGGGCCACACTGGCCTTTTCTTCCTCATCTTCACCATTTGGTGCAGCGAGTCTCATGACAGGTGGCCCCATCTTCTGTGAGCCCCACCCTCCCTAACCCTCTCCCCTCTGAGCCCCACCCCTCTTAAAACCCCTCTCCTCTCAGCCTCCTGTAATTCTTTCTTTGATTCAGAATCCATGGGGGCCTCACATAATCTCACTGACTTCCCTCCTGACTACTTACCTGCCAAACACAGTGGCTTCTTCAGGGAGAACCCCCTCCCTATATGTGCTTCAAATGGGGTCTGCAAAGTCATCATCACCTCCCCTCTGACCCCATTCACTTATGCATCCCCACTTCTTCTCATCCACTCACCCATCCATTCATTCAACCCTCCCTACTTCCTTCTACCCTGCATCATCCTTTCCTCTGTTTGTCCATCCCTCTGCCTGTCCATCCATCCATCATTCATCCGTTCACCCATCCATCTGCCTTCCTACCATGTGTCCACACATCCATCTGTTCATCCATCCACTCGCATACATCAGTCGGCCCATCCCCCAAGCCCCTGACTATCCACTCACAGTTTTGAGATCCAGGAAGCCAGAGGCACCAGATTTGGGCTCATGTAGCTCAAGCCTGGGCTCCAGTTCCTTCCTGTTCAAATGGGGCAAATGTCCTCACCTACCTGAGCCTCAGCATCCCCTCTGGACAATGGGAACAAGGGTGCAGGACTCAGTTTCTGAGAGAATCATAAGAGGCCTAGAACATTTAAGTCCATATTAAATTGGGTTATCTGGGCCCTTCTTGTATCCAAAGCAATAAAGAGAAGGAAGAGGAGACTGTTAGAGGAGAAGGAAGGAGTGGGCAACGGGGGTTGGAGCTGAAGGAGAAAGAAGAGCCTCCAGACCATGCAAGAATGGTGAACTCCTTGTGAGCGTCCCTCGCCGCCACCAGGCAGTGCCCGGGCCTGCGCCAGTGCCTGCTCTGCACCCCAGGAGCAGAGACCTGGTTCTGGGCCAGCAAAATGACTCTCTCAGGGTGAAGTGTCCCTGAATGAAGAGGGCCCAGGACCCACCCCAAGTCCCTCCTGGCGGGCTCTTTGCACATTCCCTGGGCATTGCATACCCCCTTCCCAAGCTTGGTCTCCACCTGGCAATTTTTCTCAAGCTCAGAGGGTACCCCTGGACAAAGAGATCGCCACATCCCTGAGACCCCCACCATCTCATATCTCTACCCAGGCGACATTGCAGGGATCTCATTTCACTCACTGCCTGATTTCTTTTCTCACCTCTGATTTCTGCTGGCCTTTGGTTTCCATCAGCGAAGTCAGGGCTTCCTCCTGCCCCTTTTGAGACCCTGCTCCCATGTGGTCATAGGAACTATTTGGCTCCCAGCCCCTCCCCGGGCCTCGTTTGCATCTCTGCCACATGGGGGCGGCCGGAGCCCCCTTTCCACTGGCAAAGGGGAAGGTGGGGAGAAACTGCAAATGGTTCTGCTGTCTTTGCATGACCCAGGGTAGAGCCATCCTCCTCCCGTAATCTTGCTTTTGCTGTTCCTGACCGTGGACTTTGAACAGGCTCAGCATGGGGACTGTTTCCTGGGAGATGAGGGCCCCACCCACCATATGCTGAGTTTCAGGGCTCTGTCCTGGAAGCTTTGACATCCAGGAGCTGAGGTTTGGGGGTGCATATCATCATCACCCCACTCTTCCTGTCCTGCACTCCTGGTGGTGGCTCCATGGAGAAAGAGCTGGACTCCCCACTTTCCTGTGTGGTCCCAGGCAAGTAACTTAACCTCTCTGTGTCTAAGTGTCCTGCCCTGTGAAAGGGGAGGAGAAGAACTAGCTCTTTCATAAATCTTCATGAGGATTAAATTAAATAATGTCTACAAAACTCCTGAGCACAGAACCCAGAACCTGAAAAGCGGTTAATGTCAGCTTTTTGTTATGCTGAAATGGTGATGATGGGACCGGGTGAATGACTTCCTCGGCAGACTAGGGAAATTCTGAAGGTCAGAGGGTGTGTTTTCTTATTTTGCTTTTTTAAATCCTCACCCTAGGACATGCTTTACAGATTTGAGAGAGAGAGGGAGGAAGGGAGGGAGAAACATGGGCCAGTTGCCTGTGGCACGCACCCCCGACCGGGACAGACCCTGACTGGGAATCGAACCAGTGACCTTTTGGACTACTCTCCAACTAACTGAACCACACTGGCCAGGGTCAGAGGGTGTGTTTCCTGACTGCAGCTCTGGGAATGCAGGAACTTTCTGCCTCCAGTCTCCTCTGCGTACAGTCTGGGGGTTCCTGGTGGGTGGGGTGCTGAGTGTGAAGGGAGGGAATGGAGAAGGGGGGCATTTTTTGGGGGTTGTCACAAGCCTGGCTTTCTTTTATGGCATTTAGTGGGGACTCAAGGATGGTAAACAGCCTGCAGTGCTGGGACAGCCCCCCAAAGCCAGTAATTGCTTCATCCTAGGGGCCAATGGCTGAAAAACACTGAGGCTTTCCTGAGTTGGAAGGCCAGAAAGAATTTCCCAGTCCGACCCCCTGAGACCTTCAACCCATCTAAAGCCCCTCCAGCTGAGCCCCCACTCAAGCTGATTCCCTATCCTCAGCTGGGCCTCTAACCCGAGATGAGCCCTCCCAAAAGGAGCTCCAGCTAGTGCCCCCATTTTCCGCTGTGGGGAGGGGCTGGATCGTGGAGCTGGGGACAGAGGTGGGTGCGGACTGCCTTCTGACCCCTCCACCCAGAACCTGTTTTCCGGGCCCAGGTCCTCAGTCCGCCCACAAGGGGGTGCCAGAACCTTGCTGCGAGAGCAGGAGCGCTACTGCAGCCTCGGACTGGAGGGGGTTGGAGCCACCAGGGGCGCAGCTGGGAAGAGCCTGGACCCCGAGATCACCCTAACCCACCATCCGAAGCAGGTCTCTCCCCCTCAGCATTGCTGACTTTTGGGGTTAAATCATCCTCTGTTCGGGCTGTCCTGGGCACTGTGGGGTGTTGAGCAGAAGCCTGGCCTCCACCCTTTCAATGCCAGTAGCGTCCCCCAATTACATCCACAGATGTCCCCAGACATTGTAAAATGTACTCTGAGTTAAAGGTCTCAGGACACCTGCTGGCTCACCCAAAGTGTTGGGGTCCCTGTTTCCTGTGGCTACCTGCCCTGCTCCTCCAGCCTCTTCCCTTCACTTTGACACAGAACATAGAACAGTCCGCACTGAACACAGAAAGGACCAAAGACAGCCAGAAAGAGTCAAAGCGTAGCTTGTTTAATTTTTACACATTTTTTTTTTGCCTTTTATTGAATTTTTTATGGAGCCCCCTTTTTCTTTCTTTTCTTTTTTTTTTCTTTTTTTTGCATAGGGAAACAAACAAACAAAATAATAACAGCCAGAGTCACTTTCTGTAAATGGTACTTAGGCGCATCTGCGAAACCGAAATGACTGCATAATATACAAGGTTATGATCAGAGTATGTGAGGGAGCAGGGTGGGCGAGCCAGGGGAGGGAGAAGGCGGGCCCAGGTCTGCCCAGATATCCCCTTGTCCCTTATCGGTCCCCACTCTGGGGAGGAGGATGAGCAGACCTAGCCAGAACTTCTCCCCGATGAGCACAGGGTGTATGTGTGTGTGTTACCTGGTATGTACGGCAAGCAGAAAGCAAGAAACAGAGTAAACTATCCTGGTAATATCAGTAAAATACAAAATGAGAAAAAATAACCTCAAAACATATTTCAGAGCTAAGAGAAAATGAACAGCAACAACACCAAAAATTTTAAGGATGGATAGATGGATGGATGGATGGATGGAAGGAAGGAAGGAAGGAAGGAAGGAAGGAAGGAAGGAAGGAAGGAAATTCAGAGGAAAATGGGTCTCTCTCCCTCCTCCCTGTCGCCCCCCACACTGTGTGCTCTATTCCTTGCTCAGACACTCTGCTTGTCCTTCCCCCATGTGGGGTCCTGGGAGGTGGAAGAGCAGGAACCTGGGGGCAAGGGCCAGGACCCCTTGACTTGAAGGGGCTTTGGTTTTGGGGGGCCTGGCTGGGACCCAAGATAAGAGGGTCAACAGACAGAAGTGTTGATGCATCTTGAGAGTGAGATTTGGGGTTCCCAACTGGAGGGGGGTTGGGGAAGCTCCTGTCCCCTTTCTAGAGGGTCCCCTTCTAGCCTGGAGGGTTGTAGCTTGGGGTGTGTGTGACTTCCTTCCCCTCTGGGAGCCCTTATTCCTGTTAGATCCTGTCTCTCTTTTCTGAGGCCTGCCCCCATCCCCACCCTGGGGAGATGGGGAGAACTCCAAAGCCACACCAGCAGACATGTGAGGCACTGCTTGGGAAGTCTGTTTTGGTATCACTGGCAACAAGTCCTGCTGGTATTGCTTTGGGTCTATCTCCCTGCTTTGCTGGGGGCAGGGGTAGGGGGATAAGCCTCTGGAGCCAGTTTGGACCCCACACACTCTGACATGCTTAGAAATGGGTGGATGGGGGGAGGTTGTGTCAGCTTGGAGCTGGGACTCTTAGAAAGTGTCCAAAGGTGCAGAAATGGGAAAAGATGGGAGGATGTGGAAGAAGCTGGATTTGAGGGTAGATCTCTGGAACCTTTCCCACAACACCCTCCAAAAAGAAAGTAAAAATCAGGGTCTCAGAGAGAGAATCCAGGTCAAAATAAAAAGTAGCCACTGTATAATCTGTATTACAAGAACAAAATATATATATCCCTACACTGAAGATCAAAGTACCATTGGAGAGAAGCCAGAGTGGGGAGGGATCCCGTGCGCTGCCTCTTCCACAGGGTCTACACCCTTCTCATGACCCCAGGGTCCTGCCTCACAGGCTACTGTCCAGTCAAGTCTGCCTGCCCCTGGAACACTGCTGTCTCTGGGGACAGATAGAAGGTTCTGGGGCAGGTAAGATAATCCATGGGGCTGAGGCTGGAACTGCCTGCTGCTGGGGGAGCTGCATCAGCCCCTCTAGTTGGGGTTTCTTTCGGGTCTGATTGTCTAGCTCAGGGTGGGGCTCAGAACTCAGCCAGAACTTGAGTTCCAGACCTAGGCATGGGGGACCCCAATCCCTGTTTCCAGTCAGGTAAGGCCAGGTCTTCTCACCCCTCCCTCTCCACCCTGGTGGGTTTCTGGTGCCCTCAACCATGACAGGGATGGGAGCAATGTGCATACATGTGGGAGGCTTCCCTATTCTTTTCCACAGCATGAGCTGGATCCCAGGGTCAGGATGTGGGGCTTTGCACGGGTGAGGATGATGAGTAGTGGGTGACGTGGGCTTGGGAGGGGATGGGGTTTGAGAAGATGTCAGTTTCATACATGTAAAAAAAAACCACACACACAAAAACAACCCAACAAAGGCCCCCTACCTCCACCTCGGGGTATAAACCCAAACTGCAGAGGTAGGTCAGGGGTCTGGTTCCTGGCGTTTCTGCCTTATTCTGCCTGCAACGAGGGGCCTGGGAATTTTGCTCAATGGGGATCCTGTAGCTTTCCCAAGAAATGGAAACAAACAAACCACCCCAGGATAACACACTGGCTGAGAAGGAATTGCCTGGAGTCCTCAGCTATGGTGCTGAAAGGGCAAGGTCTCACAAAGGAGGGCGGCACTGTGGGGTGCGATCCATGGAGGGACAGAATGGTCCCAGCCAAGCCCTTGCAGGATGGGGGTGGGGGGCAGAGAGAATAAAGACAGAAATCAGCCACATGAAAACTGACACACATGGCCTTGGGCTCTCTGGCTAAGTGACAGTTCCTAAGGGCACTGTCATGGTCAGCTAGGCCAAGATCTGGGCTCTCCCTCTGCTCCCTGGGGCTCGCTGAGGCTCTTTGGGGAAGAAGACATGGCATGAGTGTTTGATGGCTGATAAAAGCTGGGACCTTTCTGCAAAGTCCCACCCTGCTCTGGAGACATTCTACAGGGGGTGGCAGGCAAATAAATGGGGACCATCGTCCAACTGGTGTGTCCCCATAGGAAATGCTAGTGGGGGCTCAGGTGGTGGCCTGAGGTTGGAGAACCCAGCCTTTTGGTCCTCCCTGCTAACCATCTGCTACTGTCTTACCTTTGATTGAGTTAAAGGTAGAGGAAATTGGAGCTTAAAAAAAAAAAAGAAACCGAAATGAGAAAATAAAAAACGAGAAAAAGACAACAGCATGGCCAGCCACCCGGACAGAGGCCTATGATGGGGTGTCCCCCTGACGGTCACTGACCCCACTGGCCTCTCTAACTGGGCCTCTGATGGCTGGGCTAGACCTACAGGTACAGACAGATATTGCATATATCAAGTTTGGTTTTTGTTTCATACCAGAGAACCTCCACAGTCACAGCTGGAAGACACAGAACTGGGTGTTGGGGAGCAAGGAGAGGGCAGGAGGGAACTGACACCCAAGGCCGGTCTCCAGGGATAGGAGCAAGTGGGTCCTTTGGCAAAAAAGAGGGGTATACAGGGGAAGTGAGGGGGCCTCTTTAGGGGTGGGAGAGCAATTTGACCCTGAGCCAGAGGAACGCCAGCCTGCATCAGAGGTGGGATGGGGGAGTCTGGCTGTCAGCAGGGTGGCCACCCCATGGGGGTACTGCCTGTGGTCATGCGTGCATGCTTGGCATCTGGGGGACTGGCCAGTGGCCCAAGGGCCAGGGCACACTCCTGAGGTCTGTCTGCTGCTGTGGGTGGGAGCTTCAGAAATGACCCCTTGGAGCCCGGGGGTGGGGCTGGGGTTGGCGGAGCACCAGGGAGCACCCCCAATGCAGCAGGAGCCATGGAGACAGAGCCCAGGGCAGGTGGGGCGTGGGTGGTGGGGCAGATCATGGGGCAATTGCTCAGTGGATTGCTTTTTAGCATGTAATTTGTTTTAAAGTTCTTGTGTTTTATTTTTTATTTTTTTACAAATAGAAATACATCCCTTTTCCATTTTTACTTTTTATTTCATGTCATTGTTTTGTCTTTTTCTTTTTAACTACACGAGCAGGGCATGCAGCTACCTTTGCGCTGATATTGTTTAAAGGTAATACTTATTTTCGGAAGGCAAGGCACATCATGTGGTAGAAAATTTCGTGCAAATTAGGAAACATGGACTTTTTTAAAGGTATTTTTTTTTGTATCTTTTTTTTAAAGAGGAGGGGGAGCCGTGGGGGTTGGGGGCTAGGAGTGGGAGATAGAGCCAGGTATAACTTGCCATGCAGTGTCAGCTGTAGTGAGCTGACAGCAGGAGCCAGGTCACAGGAGTCCTCGACTAAGCACCATGCAAAGTTAGGTCGCTGGGGGCTGCCAGGCGCCCCCTCCCCTACCACGCCTACCTGCACCCTAAGGTTCCCAGCTGAGAAGCTTCCGGATACCCTAGCTGCATGACCCACCCCTCCTGCCCTCCTAAAGAGCAGCCCATTCTTTAGTCCCCAATGGCCACCTGGAGGAGCCCTGGGGATCCATGGATGAACCAAAGGTTCTTGAATCCCTCTGGACAATGGGAGGGGGAGTCAGTGGGGAAGGGTCCTGGGTCTTTCTCTTGTATTATCAAGTGGGTTCACCAAGCCCCTTGGGCTGGTTTGGGAGGAAAGTCCGGTTTCTGGAGGTGGGGGGAGGCTGGCCAGGCCCAGGGGTACCAAGAGAAGGAGCTGAGGGCCAGGCTGGGAGCAGATGAGGCGGAGACCCTGCTCAGGGCAATAGCTTTGGCCTAGGCCCGGGGTGGGAGTCATGGGGGTGTAGATATTCCTCAGCGCCAGGCATGGAGGTTGGAGGCGGCCAGTGGGGACTCGGATGGGCCAGGAGGGGTCCCTGCGTTTGGGCCTGGTGACCCTAGAACACCTTACACTCCTTCCCAGGCCCCCCACCCAAGATGGCCATACTGGGGTCCAGGGGAAGGGATGGGGCTGGGGAGCCGGGGTGGGGGGCACCCGGTATCCCCAGCTTAGTGTTTTTGGAGCGGCTCAACGGAAAACGCTTAGCAGATGGGAGGTCCCCTATGCAGCCGCAGGGGGCCCAGAAGGGCTGGCACCCCCCTTCCACCAGAAACCCTACCCCATCGAGGATTGCAATCCTTCTGGGGGCCCAGCTGCAATGTACCTTCCCCGGCCGCACCCACTTTGGGGGGAGATAAAAGTGCAAACCGTAGTCCCCCTTTGGGCTGAGAGGCACCAGGGAGGGGGTGTCGCTCCAGGATGTAAGGCACTGGCAGAGGAGGCGTGGGGGGGCACACCAGTTTCCCCAGACCACCCCCCTGCGCCCCAGCACAGCAGGATGCTTGGGGGACACCCAGCTCTGCCCCTTGGGCCCACTGGGGGTCCCCATCTTTCTGAGGGGAGCATAGCAATGAGAGGTTGGGGACTGAAGGTGGCTGGGTTGTGGGGGAGGGGTGGGGATGCCCACGGCCACTCTCACGTCTCAGCTGGACAAAGAGGGGGTGGGCAGTGGGAATCAGGCACTTAATCCACTCGCTCTCACCTCCCTCCTCCTCTGGGTAAGTGGGAGGGGTCCTCCCCTCCCAGGGCTCAGCCGATGGAGACGCCAGATGACCTTCTTTCTTGAGCTCTGGGTCTTTCCATTTCGCCCCCACAGCCCCTTCCTTGGAAAGTGCATTTCTTACAGTGTGTGCAACGTGGATCCCTCCCCTGGGGGTGTGGAGCTGCAGGCGGGTGTGGTGGGGGGTGGCCTTCTATGCCGCCGGGTGGGGCTGGGGGGCAATTGCATAGAGACTTCTCCTCCCAAACAGACAGGCATGGGGCTGAAAGACCGAGTCCCGAGCCCGCCCAGCACGTGCACGCTTTGGGGCAGGTAGAGATCCCATGATGGACCCCAGAACACTCCTGAGAAAGAATCTGTCACACGTCCTTGTCCCCTGGTGATGCCCGGGGTCTCCCACAACCCTCTTCTGCCCTTGTCACTTCCCTGCCCACCCCGGCTTCCGTGGCGCCTGCCTTCCTGCTTGGAAACACCAACACCAGTGTGGGAAGCCTGGCCGACATCCTGGTGGTGGTGACGATGGGGCGTGGGGGAGAGGTGGCCTTGCTGGGTGTCCTGCCCCTTGGGGCCCGGGCACGAGCACCAGGCTGCGCTCACCTGGTCCTGGTGGAGGTGGAGGCGGGCATCTGCCCTTCCAGAGCAGCAGTGAGAGATGAGTAACTTAGACCCCTGTGGCACTGTCATGTCCTCGTGCCCACTACCAAGGAGTGGCAGGTCCGCCGAGGGGTGGCAGGTCCAGCGAGGGGTGGCAGGTCCAGCCGTGGCGTCCCGAGAGTCTGAAGCGTTGCCGTCTTTACCTTCTGTCTTCTTGCTTGGGTGGGTTTATTTTTATGATTTTTTTCCCATTTGTCTTTTTTTTTTTTTTTTTCTTTTTTTCCTCCTGTGTGTATGTGTCTATGTGTTTTGTCTTTTCAGCCGGGCTGGGAGTCGGCAGGGTGTTCTTGCTTGCTCTAACTTTCCACCGAAAACGTGGGCTGGGGGCCGGCTGTGCAGCCCACCTGGGATGAAGGAGCAGGGCGTGGGAAGAAATCTCTCTTATCCCAGATACCAGGACTAGCCGGCACAGGGGACACAGAAATAGAGAGGGAGAGAGAAAGAAAGTGGGGTCAGGCTCTGCCACTGTCCACACCCATGTCTGCCCTACCCACCTCCCCGTGACCTGTGACCTCTGTCCCCTCCAACCCAGATTTGTCTTCAGTTGCTGGGTGACCCCAGGCCAAGTGACTTCACCCCTGAGCAGGGCTGCTAGATAAAACACAGTAGGCCAGGGAAATCTGAATGCCCTGGGAACCTTTCAGTATAAGTGTATACCGTGCAACCTTTGGAATATACTTATATACCAAAAAGAAAAAAGAAGCTTTAATCCTTCACTTATCTGGAATTCAAATCTACCTGAACATCCTGGAATTTTGTTTGCCAAGTCAGGCAACAGGAACGCTGAACCTCACTGCCCTGACGTAGATGGGGGAATACGTGGTTTCACTGTGCTCCAAATGCATTTTCTGCAGTACCCCACATCCAGGCACTGTGACCAGGGTTGCTTCCTTTTTTTAAACAAACACTCTCCCATTTAATGATCCTCCCAAACCCTGTGCAGGAGGGACCACCCTGTTTCACAGTGGAGAAAACTAGGGATCACAGAAGTCAAGTGATTTGCCCAAGGCCACCAGTGTGGGAAACAGAAAGCTGGAATTTGCACTCAGGCCCGAGAGGCTCCAGTCCTCGATTTCCCTCTGCCCAGGACTGGCCCCCAGGAACTCAAGACTCCCACATTGCAAAGTGGGCGACAGAGGCTCCTGGAGGGAAACCAGGCCTGCACTGGACAGTCTCCACAGGGAAGCTGCTGAACTTCCCCTGGAAATGCAACCTGCCCGTGTGGGTGGGCCTGGGGACTACTACCCCTTCCCTGAGGTCACAGCAGTGCAGTTCCCACCCCTGCTGTAAATCAACTGCATCCCCTCAACCAGGCCTTCAACCAGACTGCCCTGCAGCCGCTGGGCCATCCCACCAAACTGGTGCTGTGGCTCCCTGCCCCCCACCTCCAACCAAGTTCAAGTTCATCTTGGCCATTACCTCATGTCTGGTTTCCCTTGGCAACCAGACAGACTCTGGGCGTGGCCCTCTCCAGTGGTGGCCGGCCTCCCTTTGGCCCTTCCTCCCTCTTTCCTCCCCTCCCAGGCCAGCTGCCCGGCTCTGGCCCCTCAGCTGAGAGGGAGACTGAGGTAGTGCAGTGCCGGAGGTGAGGTCTGGACTCCAGCACTCTCCTGGGCTGGCCGGAGCTACCAGTATGGCTTTGGGCACACGGTGGCTTAACCCCTCTAGTCCTCAGTTTGCTCATCTGCTAAAGGGCCCCTGAGCAGAAAGGGCCTGGTGTAAAATGCTTGGTCAGGAGGACCCCATCACACAAAACATGGGGCGAGGGGTCAGAGCCCCTGGAAACCCCTCTGGGGGCCAAAGTGATGGCTGGCTCAGGATTGTGGGGATTGATGGTGAAAGACAGGGAGTGGGGGGTATGGAGATGGAGGGTAATCGATCAGGTGGAAATCAATGGCCACTGTTCAGGAGGGGGCACTGAGGGGGGTAGGGGATATTGATTAAGGGGAGGGGACATTGATGGGAGAGGAAATATTGATCAGGGGGAAGGGCCACTGATGGGGGGAGGGGATATAGATCAGGCAGACAGGGCACTGATGAGGTGGATGGTAGGAGATGGAAGGGGGCACGTGGGTTGGGAGAGAAGCCATCGCAGGCTCGAGTAGGGGGGCAGAGAAGAGCAAACCTGCCAGGAATAATGAAGGTGGAGACAGAAATGCTGACTGGGCCAGAAACCAGAGGCCTCTGAGCTCTGAGGCCTTTGTACAGGGGCTCTGAGAAGGGAGAGCATGGTCTCACTCACGGCTTCTCCCTTCCCACTTCCCTCCCTTCTGTGGGGAATGGGGGCTTGATCCCACCCAGGGATTAAGGTGCCCTTAGTCCAGTGACCCAGGGTCCAGCCTGAACAGTGCCGGTGGGATCCCCCCAGACCTGCCCTCCCTGTTCACCCAGGTTGGGGGCCTTGCCTTCCCCATAACCAGGCTCGCTTGGGAGTCTCTCGTCAATCTGTCATCTTGTTTCCGTTTCTCACTGCCCCCAACGGCAGTCCCAGAAAATTCTTTCCAATTCCCAGATCTGGCCATGCCCCTCCCTCACTCTAAACCTGTCCATGGCTCCCCACACCACTCCGCCCCCATGTTCGAGTTTTTCCACATTCCAGTTATTTCTCCATCACCTCTAGCCTTTGTCAGTGCCAAGCCCTGACCTAGACACCCTCATCCTTCTCTGCCTGGACGGCCTTTGCTACTGAGATCCAACTCCTCTCTACCCAGGCAGCGCCCTGCAGGACCCTCACCAGCCCTGTCCTACCCTCTCTGGGTCCCCATCATCCCCCTGATCAAGAGGGGGCAAAAAAAAGCATGTAAAAGCAAAGGCGCCTGTCCTTGCCTGCCTCAGTTTCCCTCCCCTTTTAGGCTGTCCACTTGGGGTGGCCTCCCCATGCAGAGAAGGACAATGGAGAAAGTGAGGTAGACAGTGGCTAGGTAACAGTTAGGCAGGCAGGGCCCCTTCCCTGTTGTTTTTATTAACTTTGGTTTCTGAAGCAATCGGGACGTTCCGAGCCTCGTAGGGATGTGGAGTGGGAGCAGGAGAGGGAACGCCCAGCTCCCTGAGCACTGGGGGGGGGGGGGGGGCATCTATGCTGCTGGGACTGAGGGAGGATGGCCATGCCGTGGAGGCCCAAAACCCAAAGCGGGGAGTCCTGGGGTCACCCCAGCTTGCTGGGTGACTCGACCAAGTGAGCCCTGTGTCTGGATCCCGGCCAGAGTTCTGCAAGGCATATCACTTAATAGGTGGGCATGTGGGGGTGTGTGGGGGGGTCTTGGCCTATTGATACTCTTTCTAGATGAAACTGGTCCCCTAACACTCCAGACCCCTCAAAGGCTTCTGGGGAGGTACCCAAGGCTAGAAGAGACAGAGGTTAAGAATGGATAAAGCAGGACTGGGTGTGAGACCTGGGCTGTGAGGGAGGTGGAGGGCCATGTCCTTCCCACACACTCTCTCATTGAGCTGTAACCAGGCTAGCCTTGGAGGGTCTCCAGGATGCCAGACTATGGTGGGTGGTTCCTTGGGCCTGGTCAGCGTGGCAGACGCTGATCTCAGCAGAGAATGGGAGATGTGGCTACCTCTCCACCTCCTCCCCACCCCTGCCTGTGGGCTCTCTTGCAAAGAACCCTCCTATAGTGGCTAGAGGGTCTGAACATGGCCCCTGGGACTCCACAAATCTCCGCGTTCTGTGGTTCTGGTGATCTGCAGCTGTTGGGGAGCCCTGGGTGGGTTTCTCTGAGCATCTGGGCCTCAGAGGACCTGTGGGAGCTGGTGCTGTCCTTGGGCTATTTTACATTCTGCAACCCGCTCCTCAACACCATCTGGAAATTGGGGGGGTCCAGGGTCCAGCCACTACCCTTGGACACTGTTTGCCAACACACCCCTGGCTTGCACACAGCACAGACTCGAACCCTAACCCGAGGGCTGGAGCTGGGCACATGGGTGGGAGCTGAGGCCACCTCCTATTCCACCAGAAGCTGGAGCCAGTCCCAGTTCTGGACCCAATGGGGTTTTGTCCTTCACTGCTGTGCAGCCTCAGGCAACCTGCTCCTCCTCTCTGAGCCTCCTGGTCTCGTGCTCAGCCCACACTCCCCAACCATACACACTCAGCTGCACTAACACCAACTCTGCCTCTGCCGCCACCCTCCCCACCTCGCAGGCTGTAGCCTGAGAGGGGGGCATGTGTGCTTCACTGAGAGGCCCCATCACCTGTCACAGGCAGCCTCAATTTCCTCACCTGCCCCTGGCATCCAGGAGTCCTCTGCTACCCCCTGCCTACCTCCCCCAGGTCCCTTTGGCCAATGACACGAAAGGGATGAAGACTGGGGCTTGGGGTGACATGTGATCCTGGGCAAATCCCCTCACTTCTGTGGGCCTTGGTCTCCCCATCTATACAAATGGCCGGGTGGCAATAGCTCATGAGGGTTTTCTAGCAGGAAGCTGCAGGGAGGGTTAGGGGCTATAGCTTACTTGAGGCCCTAGAAGGGTATGGGAGGTTGGTCCCCCTGCCACACTTAATGGCCACTGTGCCATGGGTATGGCAGGGTCGAGGTTGGGGGTAGCATGGGACCCAGCAGGCTGGCCTCTCCCTGCACACCCAGGCTGGTCCCTCTGCCCTGGCCCTCCCTCCGCACCACCAGCCGGCCTCTTGGCCCCTACCTGTGCCTGATAAATGCCCGCTGGATCCCTTGGTCCTAATCCCACAAAGGAACGGTTTGCAGGGGACGTGCCGGGCGTAGAGTAGGCTGCGGGGAGGAGAGAGACCGAGAGCCCGTTAGCAAAGGGGGCTGGCTGCAAAGGAGCACCCAGAGAGGGTGGCCACTGCCCAGGGTCACAGAGCACCCAGTGCCCTCCCTTAGCCAATCCAGGCACCCAGAAAAGCCCACAGTCACAGGCCCCTGGGTCACTCAGGAAGGGCATCTGCTGGGAGCAAAGGTGCAGGATGAAAGACTCATAATTCAGAAACCGCCTGTGAATTATTCAGGGTGTTCCACTGCCTGGTCCATCCTGCGACGGCAGCCTGAAGCCTGCACAGGGCGCCATCAATTACTGAGGCTATTTTATTCATTAATTTCCTCCTGGAGAGGCTGGGGAGGGCTGGGCACGTGCGTCCACATGCATATATTTGTATTTTAATTTCACCCATCACATTTTGTGGGTGAGTGAATAATTCATGGCTAGGTGCCACTATGGGACAGGGGCCTGAGACAGGCTGGGATTGGGGTGGCAGAGGGTCCCTGTGTGGTCTTGGCTGGGGTGAAGGTAAGTTGGAGGCAGTGAGGCTCAGGGGGATATGAGGGAAACAGACTAAACTTGTAGTTAAGGACCGGGTACTGGGAAGAAGAGGGAATCCATGTTTACTCTGCACCTATTAAGTATCTATTATATGCCAGACACTGGGCATAATCCCATTTAAACTTCAGTGGCCTCAATGAAGTCCACATAATTATTTTCCCGACTTCACAGATGAGACAGTAGGTAGTTGGTGATCACCATCACTGCATACTGACTCTAGGTCTGTGCCTGACGTTACACTAAATGCTCTCCCTGATCTATTTCACTGACTTGCTCTCCACCACCCTACAAGTCTTTTGCTCCTGAAAAAACTGAGGCTCAGAGAGGGGAGGACATTTGCCCAAAGTCACACAGGGAGTGAGTTCCAGAGGCAGGATTCAAACTTAGCATCCTACACTGCATCTGGTGTTCAGAAAAAGCCCGTCTGTACCTGAAGCTGCCCTGGGTCTTGGCAGGCAGTGGATGCTGGAGGCAGGGGCTGCTGTATGCAAGGGAGAAGGCCAACAGGGCCTCGGTGGCACTGCTGGCCCCTATTGCTCGGGGGTGAGGAATCTCATTTGGTGAGCGAGGGAGAGAAATTCTCAAAAAGAGGCAGAATGAGACGTTGGGGAGAAGTCTGGGGGCTCTGAAACTCTCTGCCCGACTAAGGCTGCTTGACCTGAGAGGAGGCAGGACAAATGCTCTGGATGCTGGGCACTGAAAGGATGGTGGGGTCGGTGGCCTGAGCAAGGCAGCCTGGCAGTGTGAATGGCTCACCCAAGCCTGCTCTGGGGTCCAGGGAGAGTCTGGGCACAGAGGCCCTGTTGATGGGTAGACCCCAGGATGCGGAATCTGGGGGTGGCTTCCCAGCCTGGAGTAGCTGCAGACGTGGGGAGTGCACAGGGGTCAGCGAGTGGTAATCTGGAGCCATATCCAGAGAGTGCAAAGTTCTAAGAGGTGAGGGGACGGACCCAGGGGCTTCCGCCAGGCTACCAGCTGGAGACACATCAGGAATGGATATTTCTAGAAGGTAAGAGAGCTCATCCAGAGCCTTTTGGGGCATCAGGCAGGCAGGTGGGGACCGTCCTATCTATAGGTATGATTCAGCCCAGGTCACTGGTAAAAACAGGGCCTGTTGTGGTCGTTTTTGACCCCAAAATTTGAAACTCAGGAATTTTTATGTGAAATGTCCTGATTTTAACATAACAACAATAGATTCTCATTTCCCACAAAGGGCAGCTGTGGGCCAGTCTAGCCCCCAGGCCCCCAGTTGGGGATCTTCATCTATTGTCAGCAGAGGAGGGCTTAGGGGTCCAGAGTGGACAAATGGGAACCCCAGGCCACTTGGCCAATCGGGGCAGACTGCAGACTTGCCCTTGCCTCTCCTAAGGCTGCCCTGGTCCCATGTGGGCCTGACCCTGTGGCCTCTATCTGGGGACCCATGGAACTCGCCAGTACCCACCAGGCTGGGCCTGAGCCCCCAACCCCAGCAGTCGGGGAGGGGAGTGGAGGGGGCCCCTTGGGGACGCCCGCCCTGCCACAGGCACCGCTTCCCGAGTGCTTACAGGGCGAGGTCGGTGACGTGCTTCCTCCCTCGGAGGTGGGTTTGGTGGCAGGGGGAAGCGCCAGCCTCGGCAGCCCAGGGGGCGGGGGTGCCAGCATCTGAGCAGAAAGGCAGTGACTGGACATTTTGAGCTGACCACTTCCATTTAACTGGGGGGAACAGAGAGACAGGTGGTTAAGGTGGCGGCACCCCATCTGCCTCTGGCTGCTGTCCACGGTCCTGCTGGGGGACAAGGTTGGCATGGCCGGACGAGTTCAGTGGGTACCACGGGCCCTGCGGGCTCCAGCATCCTGGGCTCACACACTCCCTTTGTCTCCTCCTTAGGCCACTTTATCCACTCGCTTTCCTTCCACGAGATGCCGCCTTGTTCTAAACAACGTGGGTCGACCTCACGGGTGGTCTACATGCTTTTCCTCATTCACTACCGGGACCTAGCCATCTACCACCTTGCCAGCAATTCCAAAATCCGAAAAGCTCTGAACACTGAAAGCTTTTTGTGGAAGTTAGGCAAAAGTGGGCCTGAGCCATAGGACCATATTTGATTTCAAAGGATTTCATAAAATACATGCTGTCAATTCTAACATCTGAAAAGCCCGAATTCCGAACCAGCCCAGCTCCAAGTGCTTCAGAAGAGAACTGTGGACCTCTGTGATTCAGAAAACCATTTAAAATAGACGATACATGTCAGAAAGCCACCAGAGACAGCCCAGGGCCCCAGGGAGGTTGCCTGGAGCTGAGCATGGGAGGGGAGGTCTATACCCCTCAAACTCACCGGTCCAGGTTGCTGGCTGGCTGGGTCACAGGCCAGTGAGACGAGATCTTTGAGCGGGTCCTGGGGGTTGAGGTGAGGTGGGTAGCGTATGGCTGTGTGAGGGAAGTAGGTGGAGGCTGTCTGGGGCAGGATGGAGGTGGTGGGGAAGTGCAGGGCCGAGGATGGGTGAGGGCTCCGAGCAATCCCTGCAGAGACAGAAAGGGGCAGTTATTGGGGGGTTCTGCCCAGTCTGTTCTGTTCTGACTGCACTTATGGGTTGCACCTGCATCTCGGTGCATTTGATAACAATGACAGCAGCAGGACTCAGCAGTGCCAGTGAGGGCCAGGCCCTATGGTAATGCACACACCCAAACTTTCATGGAAAACCCTCAGGATTCTGGTATCATCCCTGCTTTTTGCGTTGCATTTTGTTTTGTTAATCCTCACCCAAGAATATTTTCTGCCATTGATTTTTTAGATTAGAAGGGAAGGGGGGGAGACATTGATGTAAGAGACATATCGATTGGATGCCTCCTGCACAACACCGACTGGGGCCAGAGATCAAACCTGCTACCCAGGTATGTGCCCTCAATGGGGAATCGAACCCAAGACCCTTTGGGCTGCTCTAACCACTGTGCAACACCAGCTAGGGCAATCCAGTGACTTTTAGTATATTTATTTTCTAATTCCAGAACATTCTTATCACCTCAGAAAGAAGCCCTGTGCCCAATCACTGTCACACACGCCCCCTCTCCGGCTCCAGGCCAGATAGTGAATATTTTTGGCTTTTTGGGCCACGTGGTCTCTGTTGCAGTTACTCAGCTCTGCCATCCTAGCCTGTGAGCCGCCACAGAATGGGTGTGGCCGTGGGTCAATAAAACTTCCTTTATAAGAACAGGCTCTGAGGGCCGTGGTTTGTCAGCCACTGGTCTAAACCACTGTGCTGTGATTTTTGCCTGCCTCCCTGTTTGTGTGTCTGCCCTTGTATGGAACCAAATCATTATCATCATAACAATGGAGTAACAATAATATTCGAGAGCTTATTACAACTAACTCATTCAGTCCTAATGATAGCCATGAGAGGGGAAGCCCCAACTGACAGGTGACATTAGGGAGGGCCCCGTACAGAGTGCCTGACTCAGCTTACACCCTGTGGTTGCTGGAGTCCGTCTCCCTCTGTTATTAGTGTGACAATTCCGCAGGCCAGGCACATCTACCTCCTTCTGTGACTGCCTGACACTGTGGTGTCTATGGGTTACTCAAATGTGACATAAGGGAAGCAGGCCGAGGGGGAAGCCACAGGCTGTGCTTCTTTCCCATGCAATAGGGGAAACTGAGGCTCTAAGAGATAGAGTCAGGCCTGGGCGCTCTCCATTATGGCACATCCAGGTTTCCTTGTCCAGCAGGGAGCTATAGCAACAAGACTCATGCTCAGACAGCCAGTGGGACTTTTCCTGGCCTCGAGGGAACTTGATAAGAGTGCCTAGCCGCACTTCCCCATGTGGGCCCATAGTGCTCACCACTGTGCACGGCTATGACAGGCCGGTGGTGCTGGGTGAAGCTGGAGAGGCGCGGTGAGTCCTGGGGAGACGGGCTGTTGAAAGGTGACTTGTCCATCTCTGTTTTCTTCACCGGGGATGAGATGCCTGTGTGGGGAAGGACCAGAGGGTTACAGGGCTGCAGGCAGGGTGGGTCCACTCCTAGGACCTCAGCCTCCCTACCAAAGCCTCTGCCCCTCTTTCTCCCAGCAGCCTATGGGCAAGGGGCTGGGGGTCCATTTTTTTTTTTAATCCTTACCCGAGAACATTTTTCCATTTCTTGTTCCGATAGAGTGGGAAGGAAAGGGGGAGAGAGAGAGAGAGAGAGAGAGAGAGAGAGAGAGAGAGAGAAAACATCGACGTGAAAGGGACACATCGAGTGGCTGCCACCTGCACAACCAAACCAGGGCCAGGAACACACTGCAACTGAGGTACGTGCCCTTAGTGGGAACTGAACCCAGGTCTCTCTGGACCGCAGGCTGACGCTCTAACCACGGAGCCAAACCGGCCAGGGCTGGGGGTCCATTTTATAGATGGAGCAAACTGAGGCTGCCCACGGTTCACAGCCTTGATGCCAACATGGGTCACTGATATCCCAGCCTCTCCCCCCTCCTTCTCTTCTTCCAGAAATAGGTCCTCCAAGGAGATGCCAGAGCACCAGAGAAGGCAGCAGGGTGAGCAGACAGGAGGATCGGGCCCTGGAGAGCTGAGAGAACACAGACAAGCACCTGAGGCACTGTGCTTGCACTCCTTCATCCTTACAGGGGAAGGAAGAGAACCCTCCTTGCAAGGTCATCGCAAGGATTAAATAAGATATAACACATGAAGCCATTAGACCAGGGCCTGGTGCACGCCCACCTGCTGGAATTACTTGTTGTCATTTCTCAGAAGATAGGGGCCTCATTACCTCCCCTGCCCTGGCCCTCGGGAACCCTGACAGCTCAGCCCCTTGAACCTTCTCAATAAATGAATGGTGTAAAATGGGCACATGCAGAATCCACAGAGACCCTGGTACAGAGCAAACACTGGCTTAGGAAGGAGCCACTGTCATGATATGGAAGATGGACCACATCAGGGCCAGGCATGCGTTAGCCCTGAAGACATGTGAGTACCCCTCAATTTCCTCCCTGCACCCCCACCTCCAGCATCCTCCAAATTTGAGAGCTAAGGATGATGGCACGCCTGGAAAAATACAAAACCCAGCCTCATCTCTGGAGTTGGGATCTCAAAGAAGTGGGGCCCAGAGATGGACATGTTTAGAAATTATTTTTTAAATTTACATCAGGTGAAATGTACCATTTGAGATCATAATGAGGTCTGACTGTCCTGACACCCAGCACAAGGCACCCTGCTTCCGGAACTTTTCCTCAGCACTGCTGACACCAGGGTTGTCCTGGGCACTGTGGGGTGCTGAGCAGCATCCCTGGCCCCCGCCACTTGAGGCCAGCAGCCCTCCCCCACCCCATGTGACAACCAATTATGTTCCTAGCCATGGTCCAGTGTCCCCTGTGGGCAGTCACCCCAGTTAGAACCAGTCCTCCTCCGAAGCATGCTGTCACTGTTTCCAGGGTCTCTCGCCCATGGTTCTGTGGGTGGGCATCTGCACGTTCCCTAGCTCTGTCCCACCCAGCATGCTGTCGCACCCTTTCCACGTAGGTAGCTTCCTTTCCTCTCCAACAGCAGAGCTTGGGGTGAACAGATCTGGAAACCAGGACCCTTAAGGCCACTCAGGCTGTCAACTGCTTTTGCTGTTACAAACACTGCTGCCCTTGATGGCCCTGAGGACGCACCACACTGTCTGAGTGAGCAAATCCTGGCATGTGGGTTGGCAGGGCCTTGGGAGCCAGGGCCTAGGCTTTCCCAGGGAACAGGAGGAGCTGGTGGGATGGAGGGCTGTAGGCAGGAAAGGAGGTTGGCTCTGTAGGCTGAGTGTGTGTGAGTGTGTGAGTGTGTGTGTGTGTGTGCAGGAGGAAAGGTGGCATGCTTTGTGCTGGTGCAGGGCTATGGCGGAACCAGGTTAGGACTGTCAGATGCTCACTTAGGAGGATTTCCTAGAACAGCCTGTCCTGGATGGAAATAGACTACTGTGGACCCGCCCCGCCCCCCCCCCCCCCAGCTTCCTGAGATGGGGCCTTTGGGAGCCAGGGCAGGGCATGGGGGAGGGGAGACCTAGTGGGTGCTGCAAGAATAACCCTTCGTGCTCCAGGGCAGGCTGCAGAGGGCCCTGAGCAAGCACCCCCGACTCCTTTTGTTCAGAAAACAAGCCTGTAATGCCCCAACTGAGCCACTGCTGTCAGTTAACACACTGTATGTCCTCCATCTAAGCCCCTGCCTCTCCATTTAACCTGTAATATTCTCCCATCTGAGCAGCCATCTTTCTCTCAACACACACATCTCTAAGTCCCTGTCCCGGCATCCTGTATGCCCCCGCTGAAGACATACACATGCCCAGCTGGTGTGGCTCAGTGGCTGAACGTTGACTCATGCACCAAGAGGTCGCTGGTTTGATTCCTGGTCAGGACATGTGCCCAGGTTGTGGGCCCAATCCCCAGTGGGGGGCCTGCAGGAGGCGGCCAATTAATGTTCTCTCTCATAGGTGTTTCTGTCTCTTTCTCCCTCTCTCTCTAAAAACAATAAAGAAAAAAATTAAAGCCCTGGCCAGTTTGGCTTGGTGGTTAGAGCGTCGGCCTGCAGACCAGAGAATCCCAGGTTCAGTTCCCGCTAAGGGCACGTACCTCGGTTGAGGTTTGTCCCTGGCCCCGGTTGGGGTCGGGTGGGTGGCGACCACTCGATGAGTCTCTCTCACGTCGATGTTTCTCTCTCTCTTCCTACCTCTCTCCCTCCCACTCTGTCTGAAGATGAATGCAGAAATGTCCTCAGGTGAGGATAAAAAATAAATAAAAAAGACATACACATGCCTGTCTGTCCCCATGGAAGCACACACTTCAATGTCTCCCATCTGAGCCTGTTTGTAGAACAAGGCTCTCCCACTGGACCAGCTCTGCTGTGGGTTATTCAAGTGTGACATAAGGGAAGCAGGTTGAGGGGTAAGTCACAGGCGGTGGGGGGTCCACTCTAGCTGACCGTTGGGTTTCAGTGCCCTAGAACACAGGGTGGTCAACGAGAGTATGTGGTGAATGGGGTGCTTAGTTCTGCTGAGACTAGCCATTGTTCAGTGAGCATTTTACTACATGGTAAGGCCCCTTTCCCTTGGCACTGTGAGGGCAGAGTCACCCTGGGTGAGGACCCTTTGCGAGGTATGGGGCAGAACACTCTGAGCCTTCTCTCACATCATCCTCACAACTGCCTCATGCAGGGCTTACAGGAGTCACCCCCACTTCACAGATGTGATGACTAAGGCCTGATGGAAAAACTCACTTGCCCAAGGCCAGAGAGTTATTAACAAATGGTGGAGCTTGGATTCAAACCCAACTCTATAACTTCACAGGTCATGCCCCACCACACAAGGGGGCAGAGAAGAGATGGGGTTGCTTGCTTCACCTCTATAACCATGTATGAGAAGGGCCACAGAAGCAACAAAAACAAAGCACCCTGGGAGCTGAGCAGAAAGTGCCCTCTTTCTGGCCCACTTGGATGGGTAATCAGGAAAGGCCGCCCTGGCCGGTTTGGCTCAGCGGTTGGAGCGTCGGCCTGCGGTACAGAGAGACCTGGGTTCGGTTCCCGCTAAGGGCATGTACCTCGGTTGCAGTTTGTCCCCGGCCCTGGTTGGTCGTGCGGGTGGCAGCCACTCGATGTGTCCCTTCACGTCGATGTTTCTCTCTCTCTCTCTCTCCCGCTCTATCTGAACAAAAAAAAAAAAAAAAAAAAAAAAAAAAAAAAAAAAAAAAAAAAAAAAAGGAAAGGCCTCAGGAGGTGGCCAGGAGGAGAAAGAACACTTCTGGTCCAGGCATGGATGGGGCAATGGCCTGGAGGCTGACTCATGGGGCCTGAAAGATGTGGCTGCAGGGGTCTTGCCTGGGTGGGGCTGGCATGACCCCCCCAGACCTCTAACCTTCCCAAGCAACAGAGTATGGCTGCTGGAGGTAAGGGGGTGGGCTTAGCTGAGCACTGCCCTTGGCAGCCACAACAAAAGAAGGGAGAGAATGCTCCAATCAGCTTAATCCCCTTAATAAGCAGCTAATTGGGGGCTGTCTAGACAGGAAGCTGGAAGAAGCCAGGAAGAGGAGAAAGGAGAGGGGGAGGTGGAGTGGGGAAGGAGGACATATGAATCCATCTCCCCTACTAGGCTGTGAGTAGATGCAGGGCAGGGATAGGCATATAGTAGGTGTCTTTACTGAGGCTCCCATAGGAGAAAGTGAGTTTGCCATCACTGGAGGCAACCAATGGAAGCTGGAGGGGGATAGATTCCTGTGGCATTCCCTTCCAGCTCCATAATTCCCCATCACATACCAGAAGCTGCTACAAATTTCTTCCTTGTTCCCCCATCGGTGCCATTCCATTCTCAGGGTAGGAAAGTCGCACCAAGCCTTAGTGACTCGCTCTAACATTTCCTTTCTTTTAAAACTTTTTCTTTTTTAAGCTTCCTGAATTAAAAGCTAGGTTCTTTACTTCTGACATTGCTCTTTTCCTAATCAATAGATATAAGGCTATAATTTTACCTCTCAGGGCTGCTGTGGCTACACCACAGAGACTGTCTTTCAGCTCTAAATGGTATATACTTTTTATGCAGACAGCCTCTTCAATCGGAGTTAATGAGAAGTGCTTTTGAGTTCCCAATCAGTAAATGACAGGGCGGAAGTCTCCCAATATCTGCTCTACTCTTCTTCCTTAGTAACAGAACCCTTAAATTTGAGATAGGCACATAATTGCCCAAAATAAGACTACGGTTCCAAGTGTCCCTTGTAGCAGAGTATGCCCACATGACTAACTCAGGGACATAAAGATAAGCAGAAGAGGTAAGTGCATCTTCTGAGAATTATTCTTAAAGGAAGAGGACATGCCATTCTTAACCCTTTTTTCCTGTTGGCTGGAATGCAGACATGATGGCTGAAGCTCCAGCAGTTGTCTTGGACCATAAGGTGGAAATAAAAAAACTCATTCAGTGGAGTATAAGGCAGGAGCCTAAGTCCTTTACATCCCACTTGTCGGGGCTGCTGATGGCTGGACATTTATTTGCAAGAAATGTATTATCCTTTTGTTTTCTGTTTCTCACAAACAAAGCTTATTGAATACAGGGTCTTTATAGAGACAAACCTGACAGAGAAGGGAACCCACAGAGACAGAACCACAGAGACACTATGACCCATAAATTAGAGCTTAATAAATACAGAGACTGGTCCTCTGGGTTATGTACCTGCTCTGGGAGCCCACACTGTGAAAGAGGGAGGGGCCTTGGAACTTCAAAAGTCAACTAGGTGTGTTAGAGACTGATTCAGAGACGGAAATTTTATTGATTTTTTAGAAAGAGAGGAAGGCAGAGAGAGAGAGAAACACTGATGCGAGAAATGATATATTGATGGGCTGCCTCCTGCACACCCCTTACTGGGTAATGAGCCCACAAGCTGGGCATGGGACTGGGAATCAAACCGGGACCTCTCATTCCAAGGGATTCTCAATCCACTGAGCCACATGGGCAGGGCAAGATGGGAATTTTATAAAGACATGAGCAAAAGTCCTGTCCGGTTTGGCTCAGTGGTTAGAACATCGGCCTGTGGACCAAAGAGTTGTGGGTTTGAGTCTGGTCAAGGGCATGTACCTTGGTTGCGGTTTGGTCCCCCGCCTGGTCAGGGTTCTGCAGGAGGCAACCAGTCGATGTGTCTCTCTTACATTGATGCTTCTCTCTCTCTCCTCTCCCACTCTATCTGAAGATAAATGGAAAAATATCCTCGGGTAAGGATTAAAAAAAAAAGACATGAGCAACAATAAACTTTCCTGTTTCCTGGGCACTTATCATGCCCCAGACAGTTTTTCTATGCACATTCTACCATTTCCTCCTTCCAACTTTCTGAAAGAAATGTTATGTCATCACCCTCATTCTGGAGATGAGGAAACTGAGGCTCAGTTTGGGCTGCCCAAAGTTACACAGCCCACACAGCGAGTCAAGGGCAGAGCTGGGATCCAAACCCAGGTCTCTCTGATGCTTGAACCTGCCCTCTTTATTGTGATGTTGCTTTTTAAGAATCCTGTGTAGCCCTGGCCGGTTTGGCTCAGCGGTTGGAGTGTCCACCTGCGGTCCGGAGAGACCCGGGTTCGGTTCCCGCTAAGGGCATGTACCTCGGCTGCAGTTTGTCCCCGGCCCTGGTTGGTCGTGCGGGTAGCAGCCACTTGATGTGTCCCTTTCACATCGATGTTTCCCTCTCTCTCTCTTCCTCTCTCTCCCTCCCACTCTATCTGTACAAAAAATGGAAAAATGTCCTCGGGTAAGGATGAAAAAAAAAGAATCCTGTGTAGACATTTTGTGTATACAAATCTTTATAAAAAAGCAGGCTCTACAGCGCCAGGGAGGAAGAAAAGAGGAGGAGGGGAGGAAAAAACAAATCCTAAGGTTCATTGGTTTATTATGTGCCATGTCTATTTTAGGGACTTCAGATGTATTAATTCACTTAATCCCCACAACCTATAAAGTGGGTATTGCATGTATTAATGTCCCAATTTCACAGATGAGGAAACTGAGGTTCAGAGAGGTGGGGTCACCAGGAAGCTGTTTATAACCCCTAGGCTACCTCACAAAATGAAATCCTGATAAGGGATAAGGGGCTGGAAAGAGAGATGCTTCTAAAATTTGGGGTCACAGATCCTGCTGAGAATTTGAGAAATAACAGAAACACCTGCCCCAGTGTAATGCAAACCTGTGGGCGACTTCGCACACAATTTCCTGAGAGTTGCAAATGCTGGCCCACTAGAGTGAACCTTAAGGTGAAAGGGATTCTTTAGATGAGAATCTTGGTGGAGATGGGGACCCCAAATAAGAGAACTCTTGCCCTGGCTGGTTTTGCTCAGCGGTTAGAGCTTGGCCCGCGGACCAACGAGTCGCGGGTTCGATTCCGGTCTAGGGCATGTGTCTTTGGTGCAGTTCCTCCCAGCCCTGGTTGGGTCGAGGGGGAGGCACAGTTGATGTGACTCTACCACATCGATGTTTCTCTGTTTGTCTCTCTCTCCCTCCCTCTCACTCTACAGAAAAATATCCTCGGGTGAGAATTTTTAAAAATTATAACAAGGACCCTGGCCGGTTTGGCTCAGTGGTTAGAGCGTCAGCCTGCGGTCCGGAGAGACCTGGGTTCGGTTCCCGCTAAGGGCACGAACCTCAGTTGCAGTTTGTCCCCGGCCCTGGTTGGTCGTGCGGGTGGCAGCCACTCGATGTGTCCCTTTCACGTCGATGTTTCTCTCTCTCTCTCTCCCTCCCACTCTATCTGAACAACAACAACAAAAAAATGGAAAAATGCCTCGGGTGAGGATTAAAAAAAAAATTATAACGCCCTTGCTGGTTTGGCTCAGCGGTTAGAGCGTCGGCCTGCGGTCCGGAGAGACCCGGGTTTGGTTCCCGCTAAGGGCACATACTTCGGTTGCAGTTTGTCCCCGGCCCTGGTTGGTCGTGCGGTGGCAGCCAGTCGATGTGTCCCTTTCATATCGATGTTTCTCTCTCTCTCTCTCTTCCTCTCTCTCCCTCCCACTCTATCTGTACAAAAAATGGAAAAGTGTCCTCGGGTGAGGATAAAAAAAGAAAAAGAAAAAAAAATTATAACAAGGGGACTCTTTGGAGAAAGTGCTTGGGGAGACGATATGTAAACAAATACTCTCCAGAAGCTAGCTAGCGCTCAACAGAAGAGACTATGGAACTGTGTCATATAGAATAAAAACCTAGTAAGAAAGAGTCTGCAGAGGTCCCTGTGCAGACAGAAGAGCGACAGGACAAAATCCCCCTGGAAAAGAGCGCTATGAGAGAAGACCTGAAATCATACGGGGGGAGATCCACGGAGATGGGAATCTCGTAAACATAGGAACTTCACGGAGGACCCCAGTGAGAAGGGATCCTACATCTCAGGACCCTCTGGATGAGGTCTATGGCAGACCCATGGAAGAAGCACCCTGTTGATCAGAATCGCTATTGAGCCAATTCTATAGATTAGGAACCCCACCAAGATTGGCCCCTGAGGGCAGGAATCTCGGCGTAGGTGAGGCTCAGTACTCCCGGGCCTGCGGAACCAAAGAGGTCGGGGAACTTGAGCCCAGTCTTTATGCCGCGCTCAGCCGCGTGACTACAATTCCCAGGAGGCCTCACGGATCCAGGCCGCTTCCCGCTACGGAATACGTAGTCCCTGCCGCATAACACCGACCGGAAGACGGGCTTCTCCCCACCACCAGCCCCACCTCCTTCCATGTCGTCCGTCCAGTTTCGGCTGCTACTCGTGGGAGAGCTGGGAGAGGTGTAGTAATCGCCGCCGGGGCTCGTGTCCACGTCTTCTTCCATCGAACCCGATTTGTGCCGCTTGCTCCTAAAGGGCGAGGGAAGAAGAGCGCAGGCCGGTTACCACGGAGACGCGGGCGGAGGCGACGGGCTTTACCCACTTCCGGTCCTTGGGGGGGCGGGCCAGGAGGATGCTCTCGCGAGACATCATGTAAGCCGCAGACTTTCCGCCAGTTCGGTTAACACCTGTTTCAACCTGTCCATTGCTTAGATGAGGCACTGTGGGGCTAGAGGCAGGGAGGGACCCAGGTGAGATCACACAACATGACTGCAGAGTGCTGATTAATGCCCTTAGTCCTGACTGGTGACTTGGTCTGCTGTAATCCTCAGAACCGATAGGATTATGATCCCATTTTACAGACGAGGAAACAGAGGCAAAAACAATGTGACCAGCTCGTGCTCACATAGCACATGTCAACAAGAAACGGTGTCTTCATTCCCATGGAGTCTCAAGGTCTGGGCCTGTAGGACTTAAGCTCAGAGTGAGGTGTTAGGGATGGGGAAAAGGCACTTGGGGGCTGGGTTTTGAAGTTTGAGTAGGTGTTTCCCAAGTTGATCATGAAAACAGGTATTCCAGGGAGAGGAATGAATCAGCTAGGGCCAGGTAATGGTGGGCAAGGGGTCATAAAATGCCCAGTGATAGGGACCCAGGCACATACCCACTGGAGGAAGTGCTGGGTAGCGTTCTCCTCATGCCGGTGCTGGCTGGATTCAGGTCATATGCCAGGTGCCCCTGCAGCTCCCCCAGTGAGAAGTTGGGTCCTGTTCCAGTCACCACAGGTGCTGCAGAGTGACAGAGAGGAGAATGAGGGGAGAGCAAAGTCCAGGGCTGCAATCTGCCCTGGAAGGGTGGAGAGAACCCCTTCCCAAATTGGCCTGGTTCCTGATTTGGCTGAAACTGGCTTTATTCAATGGATCAAAAGACCAAGGCCATCAAGAGAGTCCAAGGTAATGGTGTGAGGCAGAGGCATAATTAGAGCTGGAGACCAAGCTTTCCAGCACTCCCTGAGACTCATCTGGATGGGGAGATGATGGTCAGGGTTAAGCAGAACTTCCTGGGGTAGGATTCAAATAGGAGTGTCTGAGGGAGTGGGGTGAGTCCCCAGTAGGTTCTTAGGGAAGGCAAGGGGGCAAGGAAGCAAAATAGGCAGGGGGTTGGACCTTCTGGGGTCCCCTCCTGGGACAGGGTGAGACTCCAGGAAGGAGAGATGCTGGGAAGAGGTTCTTCAGCCCCTCTACCCAGCATAAGGAGTCTATTTCCTGGGGAGGAGCATGGCACCCTGACCTTGGGCTCTGGCCTTCCTAGGAACCTTGGCTTGGTGACCAGATGGCTGGAGAGGACAAGGGGAAGATGGGGGGGGGGGTTGTGATGGGATCCTTCCTCCTCCCTGAGCCCCTCCCCTCTCCCTGAGATCCTTTCCCTCTTGGAGCTTCCATCCTAAAGCCCCTTCAACTATCCTTTGCCCCTCCCTCTGGGTCCCAGCCTGGGGAGGGGGCACACTCACTCCGGGACACTTGGATGAGCTCGGTGACACTGAATACACCGGAGGTGACAAAGCTCTCCTGGAAGTCGGTTGTGTCTGGAACAGGGAGAGAATGGGCGTCAGTGGGTCTATTTCCCTCCTCAGCACCCCAGTGCTGCCAGACTCGGGGGGCTGGACTCAGCCTGGGCAGTCACCCCCTTCCCTCCTGCAGCCCTATGGTGGTGGAGCTATCCAGCTACTCCAGTGAGATGGGAGAGTCCCTCTGCCCTTGCACAGCTGGAGCGGACATCCTTTTCTTAATATCTGCATCCAGTCTCCCCTTCTTCGGGGAGGTCCCAGGTGGGCCCTGTCTGTATCCAGCCTCACCTTCATTTAGGGTTCCCCAAGCTGTAGCAAGCTGCAAGCAGAGGCCAGACCCAGGTTAAAATCTCAGCTTGGCCACCCACTCGGTGGTGATCTTGGGTAAATCCCTTCCCCTATATGCTATCTAATCTAGAAAATGGGGACCAGATACTCTGTTGTCTGGGTGGTTGTGAGGTATGAACCAAACTACCTAGGAGGGGCAGGCTTGCTTTCTTTGCATCAATCATCACCCCAGGCAATACTGCCATTTAGTATCCTTCTCCCTCCAGATTAGGAACTTCACGAAGGCAGGGATGTCTGCCTAGGCCTTGCTTTGTCCTTAGTGCCTAGACCAGAACTTAAACTAGTGCCCAGATCATGGGCCGTTTAAATCCTGTGTACCCAGAACCACTTCCAGCTAAAGTCAAAGGAAGAGAGACTCTCCTCTCTAGGCTGGGGTGGTTGTACACAAATATTCAGAGCAACATGATTCACAACAAACTGGAAACAATTCAGTGTCAACCGATGGATGAATGGATAAACACGTGGTCCATCCAGACAACAGAATATTTTTCAGCCATAAAAAGGATGAAGTGGCCCTGGCCGGTCTTGCTCAGCGATTAGAGCGTTGGCCTGTGGTCCAGAGAGGCCTGGGCTCGGTTCCCACTAAGGGCATGTACCTCGGTTGCAGTTTGTCCCTGGCCCTGGTTGGGTCGTGCAGGAGGCAGCCACTTGATGTGTCCCTTTCACGTCGATGTTTCTCTCTCTCTTCTCTTCCTCTCTCTCCCTCCCACTCTATCTGAACAAAAATGGAAAAATGTCCTCAGGTAAGGATAAAAAATAAAATAAAATAAAAAGGATGAAGTGCGCTGGCCAATTTTGCTCAGCAATTAGAGTGTTGGCCAGCAGACCCATGAGTCTCGGGTTTGAGTCCCAGAGAAAGGCATGTACCTTGGTTGCAGGTTCAATCCCTGGCCCTGATCATGTCGTTTGGGAGACAACCAATTGGTGTGTCTCTCTCACATTGATGTTTCTCTCTCTCTCTCCCTTCCTCCCACTCAATCTGAAAATCAATGGAAAAATATCCTCGGGTAGGATTAATAAAAAAAGGATGAAGTATTAACACTCAGCACAACATGGATGAACCTTGGAAACATAATGTTCAGTGAGAGAAGCCAGACACAAAAGACCACACAGGGTGTTGTTCCATTTGTATAAAATGTCCAGATCAGGCAAATCCAGAGACAGAGTTAGTTCATGGTTGCCAGGGGCTGGGGGAGGAGTGTGAGGAGTGATAGCCAAGAGGGGATGAGGTTTCTTTTGGGGTAGTGGAATGTTCTGGAACTACATAGCGGCTATGGTCGCACATTGTGAATATACTTAATGCCACTGAATTTTACATTTAATATGGTTAACATCATAAAATTTATCTTGTGTATTTATCACAATAGAATAAAGTTTTAATACCATTAAGTCCAACGTGAGGTATATCAGGCTGGGGTAAGGCTGCCCAGGGAGCCTACTGGGAAGGGGACTCATCTTGCACAAAGGGCTCAGAGAAAGCTGGCGGAGATGGCAGCATTTTACCAAGACCTCAGGGTACCTACCAGTCGATAGCAGGAGTGCATGAGTTAAAATTTAGAAAGTGCCAAAGACAGCATGTGGCACAGGGTAACCGCACTGTAAGTGTTGGCTATCCCAGTTGGGATGATCATAAATGTGATGTTTCGCCACCTCCCTGGGGGCCACAAAGTTCCTGGTGGCAAGAATGGCCTATGCAAAGGCCCTGGGATTGGAACGCCCTTGGCAAGGTGGAGGCCAACAGGGCTGGAGTGGAAGGAACTTCCAAATCCTTTCCATTCTTCAGGTCTCTGCTTCCAGACCTGCTTCTGGGAGAGTGGGCAGAGAGGGTGTGGGGCTGGAAGGCAGGAACTTCTAGGCTTTGAGGGGTGGGTGGTATGTGCTGGGAGCAGTTCTTTTGGCCCCCAGGGGGCAGCACCAGCTGCACGGAGCTCACCGTGGTGCTCAGTTCCCCAGCTGTCCCACACCCTGGACAGTCCGGGAACCTCAGCCTTCCTGATGACAAGATTTGCTCCCACCATTTATTGAGCACTTACTATCTTCCCAGGCGCATGCTGGGAGGCACAGGGTCACAACATCACAGGGAGGACAGGGCAGTGGACCCCCAGTGTCCAGAGCAAGTGGCCACGGCTGCTTCCTGCCCACCCAACTGGCCAGCTGGTGTCAGCAAGCCCCTTTGCCCTCCCCCAAACCGGGGTTTCCTGTTTGTGCAGCACTCGCCCAGCTCCATCTCCAGGGGACTCCCTGGCGGGTGGAGAGGAAGTGATTTCCTCCACCAGACACTGGAGCTCCTCAGGGGACTAGGCCAACCTTGTAGAGCTACCCCAGCCTGCCTTGAACATCTGAGTTAGAGGGAGGCTCCTGAGGATCTCAGGAGGCCAAGGAGGACTCTAGTCACAGATGGCCAGTAAGGAGTGGCCTGGAGGCCTGTGAACCTCCCGGAACCAGCCAGCCTCCCTGGGCACGGCTGTGCTGGTCCATTCAACAGGATGTCCTCACACAGTCACTGTTCCTTCCTTCCTTCCTTCCTTCCTTCCTTCCTTCTTTTTCATCTCTCCTCTTTCCTCGTCCCTGATGTACCATCTCTCTAGTTTTTCTTCTTCTTTCTGCTTCATACCTCTCTTCCTTCTTTCTTTCTCTACAAATATTTATTGAGCACCTACTGTGTACCAGGTCCTATTCTAGGCACTAAGGACACAATAGTAATCAAGATAGATTAAAACCTCTGCCCTCGAGGAGGTGATGTTCTATTAGGGGAAATAAGCAAACACATATGCAATCATTAATTTTCTCTGAAGGAAATAAAACAGAGGGTGGTGATCAATTGAGAGTGGCTTAGGCTGCTTGAGCTGAAGGGCTCAGGGAAGATCTTGAGAGGGGAGCATTTGTGCTGAGACCTGGGAGATCTGGAGAGAGAGAGAGAGAGAGAGAGAGAGAGAGAGAGAGAGAGAGAGAAAGAGAGAGAGAAAACGCAGATAGATGTCCAGACACATGCAAAAGTCCTGAGGCAGGACCATGCGTAGCATGTTGAAGAAACAAGGCGGAGACCCATGTAGCTGGAGCAGAGTGAGTGAGGCAGAAAGAGTGAGAAGACAGCATGAATGGGAGGGTGGGGTGGGGTGGGTGTTGGCAGGTTGTGCAGGGCCTTGTAGGAAGGACTTGGGCTCACCCCCCACCCAGTGGGAGCCCTGGAGGGCTTTGGGCAGAGGAGGGGTGGGACCTAACTCAGGTGCTCACAGGTGCCCTCTGGGAACTTTGGAGGGGACAGAGTGTGGGGGTCAGGATCAGGGGGAAGGCAGGGCAGAGCAGCTTCTGAATCCTTTCCATTCTTTAGGACTCTGCTCCCAGCCCTACTTCAGGCAAATTCTCCCACTTTCCACCTCCCAACATAGAACTGACTTTCCTACTGATTGTTAAATGTCCCACGGGACTGCAGGGCCCTCTAGGTCCTCTCTTGTTCTGTGAATACCTTGGAGCCCAGATGCTCCCTGGGTGGCCCTGGGCAGCCCCTTAACCTCTCTAAGCCTCAGTTTCCTCATCTGCAAAATGGCATAACACAGCAGCTACCCTATAGCATAACTGAGGAATGGACCGCTCATATGTATGAGGCTCACACAAAGCCACCAGAGCACACAGGGGATACTCAGAAAATGATTCCCAAATAAAAGATGGGGACAAGCTGTGCCCTCCACCCCTAGCCTTCCCCAGACTCACCCAGCGTGATGGGCTTGCTGTCCTCCTGGTCAGAGCCCATCCCGGCCCGGGGACTGCCGCTCTGCTCTGCATCTGCAAAGAGAGGAAGGAGTTGGTGACACAGGATAGTCCCTTAACATTCGAGGCCCTGGGGTCTCTGCTTAGCTCCTCCCTTGGCTGCTGCCCCAGAAGGTCATGGACGTTTGGCTGGGCACCTGCAGACATTAGCACAGGTATCCAGGGCTCATGTGTACCCACGGGCTGGAATGTGGCCTCACACAGGGTGAGAAGCCATGTGCTAGCTTGGCTCAGTCGTAGGTTAGAGCTCTTTCCCTGAGCCTCAATCTCCTCATTTGTGAAATAGGGTAGCTCATTTAATCCTGCCTCAGCCCTAGGAGGTAGGAGCTATCATGCCCATCTTATAGATGGGGAAACTGAGGGCCAGAGAAATGAGTACTTGAACCCTTGGGCCCCCTCCTCTTGACCTTTGCCCTTGAAGTCTTGAGGGCTCAGCCCTTGGTCTTGGGATCCCACTCAGGGTCTCCAGAGAGGGGCCAAGGGACATCCCTCTGCAGCTGCAATGCCCCCACCCTCCCGCCTGGCTTGGGAGCTACCTCCTACCCCAGCACCTGCCCATCCATCTTATCTAAAAATAATCAGGCTCCTTGGCAGAGGAGTGTAGCAGACAGACGCTGAGCTCAGCTTTTATTGGCTCCGGTGGCCTGGATGGAGGTTGATCATGCCAGCTCCCTCTGCATCCCCCACATCCACCGAGGACCAGGCTGAGGGGGGGACATGGCCAAGGTCAGCTGGACAGAACCCAGGAACCACCCGTTTGTCTCTCAGGTCAAAGAGAAAGGTGGTGGGAATCACCATCAAATGCCAGAGAGAGAGAATCAGCCCCCCCGCCACCTGCTGCACCTGTCATACCCCAAAGCTGACAGTAATCGCTGTGTGACCTTAGGCAAGTCATTTGTCTATTTTGGGTTGCAGTTTTCTCTTTCAGATGGGTGTGAGCATCTCCCAGGCCTGACTGGGTTGCCAGGAGGTGACAAGAGAATAATGTACATGAAGCGCTTGGGCATACATAGTAATGTCCATCACATTATTATTATATTATTATTATTGTTATTTTTAAATCCCTAGCAGATATGGCACTTTATTGTTCCCATTTTATATGTTCACTTGAATCCTTAAGATAGCCACAAAGGTGGCATCATTAACTGTACCCAATTTATATGCAAGGAAAACAAGGTTAGAATGATGGAAAGGTCCCCACCCCATACACTTGTGCTGTTATGAGGGTCACAGTTGAACCCTGAACAATGTGGGGGTTAGGAGCACTGTTAAAAATGCTTGTATAATTTGATTTTCCAAAAACTTAGCTATTAGCTATTAGCTTTCTGTTGATCAGAAGCCTTACTGATAATGTAAACTGTCTAACACATATTTTGTATACTGTATTCTTATAATAAAGTAAGCCAGAGAACAGAAAAGTTACTCAAAAAAGCATAAGAAATTGCCCTGGCCAGTTTGGCTCAGTGGTTAGAGCATTGGACCACAGACCAAAGGGTCTCAGGTTCGATTCTGGTCAAGGGCACATATCTCAGGGAGGGAATCAGTGTGTCTCTCTCACATTGATGTTTCTCTCTCTCTCCCCCTCCCACTCTATCTGAAAATCAATGGAAAAATATCCTCGGGCAAGGATTTAAAAAAAAAAGCTGTCCTGGCTGGTTTGGCTCAGCAGTTAGAGTGTTGGCCTGTGAACCAGAGAAACCCGGGTTCGGTTCCTGCTAAGGGCACGTACCTTGGTTGCAGTTTGTCCCTGGCGCCTGTGCGGGTTGTGTGGGTGGCAGCCAGTCAATGTCTCTCTCTCACATTGATGTTTCTCTCTCTCTTCCTCCCTCTCTCTGAAGCTAAATGCAAAAATGTCCTCGGGTGAGAATAACAACAACAAAAAAGGCATAAGGAAGGAAAAATACATTTATAGTATTTATTGGAAAAAAACAACAATGCCTTGGCTGGTTTGGCTCAGCAGTTGGAGCGTCGGCCTGCGGTCCAGAGAGACCAGGGTTCAGTTCCCGCTAAGGGCGCATACCTCAGTTGCAGTTTGTCCCCGGCCCTGGTTGGGTCGTGCAGGTGGCAGCCACTCGATGTGTCCCTTTCACGTCAATGTTTCTCTCTCTCTCTCTCTCTTCCTCTCTCTCCCTCCCACTCTATCTGAACAACAACAACAACAAAAAAAACACGTATAAGTCGATCCACATCATTCAAACCCATGTTGTTCAAGGGTCAACTGCATTTCTTCATTTGTCTGGGCAGGCGGCCAGACATCTAACACACTGCGCGTGCGTGAGCCATCTGGCTTCTGGGATCAGATGCCTGAGTTCCCATCCGTCTGGGAGCCTCAGAGGAGGTGTGGTCCTGGGGAGGTCACTTCCCCTCTGGGGGCCTCTGTTCCCTCAGTGTTGTCATGGAGATAATAATAATGATGATACTTCCTAAAACAGTCACGAGCTCTTGCTGTTTGCCTGGCACTGTGCTAGTGGCTTTGCACACACTGTGTGTTGCACACCTACTGGTTGCCAAGATTGAGGGTGCCATGAACAGCACAGGAGCGAGCCTGTGCAAGGCCCTGTGCCTCAGTTTCTCATCCAGGAGCAGATGAGGGCAGCCCCTTCCTGACCTGGCTTTGCAGCTCAAGCCTTGGCTGACTGGGCTGGGCATGGCTGGGCAGCAGCTGAGGGGAGTGTGCCCGGCTGGGCCCTGAGCCCTGTGGCCACTCCCAGGTTGGGCAGCCAGCAGCCCCTCAGAGCCGGCCAGTCCCGCTTGGCCCTGTGGCTGGGCATGGGTGGCTACTCCACTGGGAAGTGCCCAGCCTGGGCAATCATCCGTCGGGCTCTGGGCCTCGGGCACAGGACCCTCTTCCGGAACTGGTGCCCACATGGACTCAGCAGGCAACAGTGCCCAGCTGGCACTCGGAAGTGGGAATGTTTCTTCAGCACCGCCTCTGTGCTTATGGCTATGGAACCAGGCAGACAAGTCTGTGGGCCTCAATGCAATACCTCATCTATCTCTGCACCTTATTCTCTTCATCTGTGAAATGGGCATAACCACAGCACCTCCCTCGAAGGCTGTTCATCAGGGAAAAGATGATAATGCATGCGATAAAGTGCCTGGAACAAAGTCTGGTGTGCAGTAAGTACTTTACCAAATAAAGGAGGACCCTTCTTACTATTACCAGCTCTGTTGTTTGTGCCTTGGTTGCTTTGTATCCATTAAAAGCGATTGCACTAGGCTGTGGCTGGCTCTAGTTGGAGCCCTTTTCTCATTGTTCATTCACTCTGTGACCACAGGCCAGCCACACCACTTCTCTGAACCTTAGTTTCCTTGTCTATAAAATGGGGAAGATAGCCCTTGCCAGTTTGGTTCAGTGGTTAGAGCATCAGTCTGCAGATTAAAGAGTCTCCAGTCTGATTCTGGTCAAGGGCACGTACCTCAGTTGTGGTTCGATCCTGGGCCCTGGTCAGGGTCATGCGGGAGGCAACCAACTGATGTGTGTCTCTCATATCAATATTTTTCTCTCTTCCCCTCCCTCCCTCCCACTCTATCTGAAAATCAACGGAAAAATATCCTCAGGTGAGGATTTAAAAAAAAAGGGAGAAGTCCTGGCCAGTTTGGCTCAGTGGTTAGAGCATTGGCTCTCGGACCAATTAGTCTCAGGTTTGATTCCGGTCAAGGGCACGTACCTCGGTTGCGGTTCATCCCCGGCCCTGGTCGGGTCATGCAGGAGGCAACCAATTGATGTGGCTCTATCACATCGATGTTTCTCTCTGTCTCTCTCTCTCCCTCCCTCCCACTCTATCTGATAATAAGTAGAAAAATATCCTCAGGCGAAAAATAAAATTTTTTTTTAAATGGGGAAGATGATAAACCCCACCTCCCAGGGTTTGTTGAGCTGCCTAGTTAGCTAATTATTAAGTGTAAAACAGTTGCCACCAAATTGCCAATCAATACATGGTAAGTTTGGGGCAGATTGTAAATGATACTGTGTACTATGTTTTTAATTTAATTTTTGTTTTTAATTGTTCATTGCTAGCAACTAGACATGCGATTGGTTTTTGTGTGTACCTTGTATTTTGCAACCTTGCTGAATTTACTTCTTAGTTCTAAGAGTTTTTTTTTGGATTCCTTGGGATTGTCTGCCCTGGCTGGTTGCTCAGTGGTTAGAGCATCGGCCTGAAGACTGAAGGGTCTCGGGTTCAATTCTTGGTCAAGGGCATGTGCCTGGGTTGCAGGTTCAATCCTTGGCCCCGGTCGGGGTCGTGAGAGAGGCAACCAATCGATGTGTCTCTCTCACGTTGATGTTTCTCTCCTCCTTCCTCCCTTCCACTCTGACTAAAAATCAATGGAAAAATATCCTCAGGTGACAATTAACAACAAAAATAGATTCCTTGGGATTTTTCTATGTAGACCATGATATCCTTTGCAAATAAAACAGGGACAGTTCTATTTCTTCCTTTCTGATCTGTATGCCTCTGACTTCCTTTTCTTGCCCTATTGCACTGGCCAGGATTTCCAGAGCAATGTTAAATAGAAGTAGGGAGATCAGGTGCCCTTGCCTTATTTCTGATTTTAGGGAATACATTTAATCTCTCACCCCCAAGTATGATTTTAGCTATGAGTTTCTGTAGATCCATTTATTTATTTATTTATTTAATCCTCACCTGAGGACATTTTTCCATTTTTTGTTCAGATAGAGTGGGAGGGAGAGAGAGGAAGAGAGAGAGAAAGAGAAACATCGACGTGAAAGGGACACATCAAGTGGCCGCCACCCGCACAATCCATCCAGGGCCAGGGACAAATTGCAACCGAGGTACATGCCCTTAGCGGGAACTGAACCCGGGTCTCTCCGGACTGCAGGTCGACACTCTAGCCACTGAGCCAAACCGGCCAGGGCTGTAGAACTCTTTATTGGGTTGAAGATCTTCCTTTTCCATAATCCTGGGAAATATTTTTTAATTTAAATAAGTAGTTTCTAAATAATATGATGCTATACTTTTATGCTACATCATTAAACATTTTTTTAACTT